TCCAGAGTGTGACCGGGGTATTGACAAGACCTTAGGCTCGATTTCCGCCGTCTCCCAATCCCTTGGGGGCTCATTTTCCAGCACAGCGGCTTACAATCGAGCCTAACAAGACCTTGGCGCTCGCAAAAACCTGCCAAGTAGGTGTCTGTGCCTTGGGCAGATTGTCATGTTAGTGTTAGCCTGTGTACACACCACCCCCCGACCCCCTCGGAGAAGGGGCCCCTTCTCCGATTTTTCCTAAGGGAAGGACGGGGGGTCTGTACACAGGCTATTAGTGTCTGTGCCTTGGGCAGATTGTCATTTCAGTTCCGAATACCTACCAAACACTCTCGCTAAAATGAGTTCATTTAGTCATTGACTTTGCTACACTTAGGCAAGCGACAGCTGGCTAAGTGCGACGTAATATCATTCATGCACTCTGCGACCAACACATTTCCCTCCACACCCCTACTGGGACCACACTCTGTCTTCACGATCTCGCGAAAAGAACAGCTCTTTTAACAATTGATCTCTTTGGCGATTTCATTGACATAATTATATTTGAAACTGGCACCTGTTGCATTATAATTCAATTAGATTGAAACCAAAACAAGATCATCTTGGGAATACGGGTGTGACAGGAGCCCATAGGCTCCTGACCCTAACAAAAACTAAAACCTGAGATAATCCCTTTTCCCCTTTTATTCTGCTACCGATAAATGCTTTAAAGATCTTTGAATGAAACTGAAATTTACAGCTAATTTGCCTTTTGCAAAGCTATACATGGATTTAGATAGAAAAAGTGTGGGGCATTTTTTTTAATCATAGTGCCGTGTACAAAGATCTGATCAGCAAAAAAGAGTGCCCACAAATTTTATCGTGGTGACAAGAGGACTTACCTTGCAAGTTAACTCTTATTTTTAATTATTATCATTAACTACCATTTAAAAAAAGATGATAATATAATAAAATTGATCGATTCAACGCTATTGTTTTCTAATCGACCGCCCCTCGTTAGGAATGCGTGACAGGCCACAGTAATTGAATTATTTTAAGCCACGCAAACGTATATCATGATATATTATTCAGCTGCTTCTTCCTCGTTAAACAAAAAAAAAACAGACCTTAAGGGGAGTCTAAGTAATGGTTCGTGTTTTTCTGTGGAAAGGAGAGTTATTTTTCTCCTTAGAAATATGAAATGTAAGGATTATGTTTCATGTCAAGTTGTTGAAACGACGCATCTAAGGCTAATTTGCATACGGAGAGTGAAGTCACGTTCATCGTCGACAAGAAAAAAACCAAGAAAAAGCGATTACTAAGTTTTCTCCACATGTTTTCGAAAGTCCAATATTTAAAGGGTCTAATGACAGTTAGTGATAACTAGAAACGTTAAAACTGTGGAAATTAGTCGACCAGATGCAGACCGTTACAATAGCCCATTTCCGAGTTCCTGTATGATTGGAGACTGGTGCCGAAATAACGCACGGGAGCGAGGCTTCGTGCGAAGTCCCTCTTGGCGGCGCGAAAAATAAAAAGCGATTGAGGGGTTTTCACTGCTCTGAATGTTTTAATATTTATGAGATGGTCTACTGCTCAGTCGCCTGCTGCAATAATGGGAATCACAATCGAAATGATCTGTCATATTTTATTTTTCCTTCGGACAAGAGGCTTGGAAGTTGGATAAAATTCTGCCGCCGAGCGGACAAAAAGTTTTCAGTGGAGTCAGCGAAGGCAAAGGCAGGAAAGAGCAACAATTTGCGGATTTGCAGCGCTCATTTTGACCCCAAAGCCTATAGAAAAACTTTGAACGGTAGGAGAAAAACATACAACACTGCTCTGCCAACTATATTGCGACCAAACGATGAATGCACACCGAGAAGTGTTCGTTACGAAACAGCACGGAAGAGAAGACGGCTGGAGTTTAGCGACTGCAAAACAAACACTCTCTTGCCAAGCCAGGTTTCGCTTGCTGATGCAGATGGAGAAATTACTACAGATCTGGTGGATGTTCGATCGTCTAATGCTGATTTCTGCGATGTTCAGCATGACCATTCGTACTGCCTTTCAGCAGAAGATGATCGATCTTCGACAGTGTTGTTACAAGATACCGAACCTGAGATGGTAAGGTCAGTGGGTTGTCAAACTGACATGACTTTGTTCGATTTAGAACAACTGGAAAATGAAGTTAAAAACCTCAAAAATAGACTTAACGATAAAGCTAAACTAAAACGTGACTTGTTCATGGAGGATGTCCTTGAAAATGATGATTCAGTGAAGTTTTACACTGGAATTCCCACACTGGGATGTTTCAATTTGATTTCAGAATTGATAAAGCCAGAAGCTGAAAAGCTCAAATACTGGGACAAAAACAAGAATAAACAAATGAAATACCAGACAACATCCAACAGCAAACCTGGACCTAAAAGAAGTCTAACACTGACTGAAGAATTGGTTTTAACTCTTGTGAGGCTTAGACTTGGATTGATGGGAAGACAACTGGCTGACACATTTTCTGTTTCACAGTCACAGTTAAGCAGGGTATTCACAACATGGGTTTGCTTTCTTGCATCCATATTTCAAGAGGTACTAGTACTCTGGCCAAGTAAAGACGAAATTAAACGAAACCTCCTCGCTCATTCAACAAGTACCCCAATACACGAATAATAATTGATTGCACAGAAATGTTTATAGAAAAACCCACTTCTCCTTATGCACAAAGAGCAACTTGGAGTGAATATAAGGGCACAATACCATAAAGGCTCTTGTTGGAATTACCCCTCTGGCTATTTTAGCTTTCTCTCCAAATTTTGGACTGGAAGTACCAGTGATAGGAAAATCACCCAGGAAAGTGGACTGGTAGACATGCTAGAGGAGGGCGATTCAGTGATGGCTGACAGGGGTTTTAACATTAGAGACATCCTTACAAAGAAGAAAGTTTATCTTAACATTCCTCCCTTTTCTAAAAAGGTAAGATTTAATTGGTATATTTAACATTTTCACTAATAAGGTTTCCCAGAGTTCAACTGATAATTCTCAATTTTATACTAAGAAAAAGCTGTCAAAATATCACTTTAGCTTACCTTTGTAATAACATTAGACTTTAAAAGCCCTTATAAATGTAGGTACCAAACTATGTAATATTCTTAAAAAACACATATACCATAAACTTATGATAATAAGCCCTGGACTTGTATTTGCTAAAAGGTTTTTTCGCAGGGGCTTATTATTGGAAGGAATTTTGCAATTCAAAATGGGCTGGGCTTGACTATAAAAACAGCTTAAACCACTAAGATGACAGCCTACAAAAAGCTAACCATAACAGTCTATGGGCTTATATTCGGGATGGCTTATTATCAGGAGGAGATTTGTGTCTGATATTTGGGGGGCTTATTTTTGGGATGGCTTATTATTATTATTATTATTATTAATTTTTTGGGTTTTTTTTTTTTGGGGGGCTTATTATCGGAGTTTTATGGTATATTTTTATAAATAAAACACATTATTTTTCAGGTAAACAGCTATCACGGGCAGCCACAAAAACACTCGTCAAATTGCTAGAGTGCGAATTCATGTTGAAAGGGCCATCGAAAGATTGAAAGACTTCAAGATATTTCAAGGGAATTTGCCTTTGACCCTGGCTGCACTTGCTGACCAGATGTTGATAGTCTGTGGAGCTCTTTGTAATTTACTTAAGCCACTGGCCAGATAACATATCCCAGATTCCTACAACAAGGATTGTTGAATATTTTCTTATTTAGCACTGCTTCACAACAACAAATAGCAGGAGTATGTGTAATAAAGGATTCAAGTAAAATGTTTTAGCACTCAAGCAGTGAAAACATTTCTGGAAAATCTGGCTGTAATCTGGATTCAATTTCTATTCCAACTATAGGCAAAAGGATACAAATATAATAACACAATTTGCATGTACACATAAAGACATCACATCAACCCAGTTAAATAATATTTATGTAGTTCCACATCAAACTGCAGATTTTGCATAAACCACACAATCACTACAATAAAACCATGCTTTCAAGTTATTTATCAAAAGAAGTATGCTGCACCACATGGGAAGCCCTGAGTTTAAATGAAAACATATATGTGAAGTAATTTACAACAAAACTACACACAATACATCATCAACATCATACTACACATTCATTTCATTCTGTGTTTCATTCCTTTACCGGCTTGATGAACTCAAATTTCAAGTGGCCGGCCTCCAGTGTATGGGTCTTCATAGCTCAGCTGGTACAGAGCACTGCAGCATGAACACAGAGGCCACAGGTTCGAATCCCGTTGAAGCCCCGAAAAACTTTTTTTGGGGCTATTTTGACAATTGCTTAAATTGCGATTCACTGTGATGGTCACAAGTTCAGTTCATTTGTATTCACAGAGTTCACATCACTTCATTCTGTGGAAAACTACACATAAAACCTTATGGAATAAGCTATGACCTTACTTCACCTAATATTTTTCCAGTGAGAAGCTCTGGCACCATAAACTTAGAAAAAAACAGTTGTAACTTTTCCAACATTCGCAGAAAAAACTCCTTGTCAAAATCCACATGAACAATCAAAATCCCCTTGTTTGTATAAATTACAAGATCAGTGGCATGAATCCCAGAGATTGCCATTTGGCCCTGGATTTGGTAATACCAGGAAGTTTCTTCCTTCAGCTTGAAGCCCTTCGTTGTTTTGAGCAACTTGTCAGAAGCTGCAACTCCAGGTAGCAGATTCCGTTTGGCAAACAAACTCTTGCACTCAACTAATGTCTTACCATGACATTCACAGTGACGAATACGATCGGGCTTGCACCAAGAAAAGGCCACTTCTGATTAATAACAAGGCCAGATTCAAGAAGGTGTAGTTCCTTGTGTTTCAGTGAAATCTTCTTTAAATAAAGTTCTGAAGCAGCAATTTCCTTTTCATGGCCCCACTCTAGCTGCTCAGGTATATGCTCCATTGGGCAGTAGTTCATAAGTAGTTTGACAATGTTTGATTTGTCTGTTGTGTCTCTCATGTGGCACACCGGTAAAAGTTTGAAGCTGTTATGCGGCCTGATCCCTGGTCAAACCACAACTGACTACTTCCCTGATGCACTGTTTTCGAGCAAATCACATCACACTGACTTTCACTGACAGACAAAAACTTCATAAACGACTCAACAATGTCTTCAGATATATCCATGTTGTTGTCAATGTTGTTCTGACATTTAAAAATGTTTGCATATTCTTTCATAGTGTAAACAGTAACATTCTCCACAGTTTCAAACCTTTCAACATTTGCATCATTGGTAATGTGTTCTTTCACTAATGGTTCTGGTGTGTCTGGATCTTCTGGCTTCGGGAGAAAGTGAATGGCCACTGACTGAGGGTATAACTGTTGTAGACCCCTCCTCAGCTTTTCTCTCATTGAGCTGGAATCAAAAGATGAGAGTCCTGGTTGAAAATTATGTGGTTTTACAGGATCCTTTTCAGCTTTACCAAACTCAGCTTTAACAATCTTTAAATTCTTTAAAAGGGTAGCATACTGACTATTCCCACTTCTTTTCTTCCCTCACATTTCCCAGAAGTGCACGTTGACATCAAATTATTGCTAACTGTGGCCTGGAGGTCAAACAACACAGCGGCAACGTGCCTGCAGCAACCATCACTCCCTCCTTTACACGGGCAAAATGCTGCGTGTACCTCTCCGCTGGATTTTAGAATTGTGAAACCATTGTAAGTAGCCTGTCCATCTTCCGTTTTGGCTCTTTCAGTGGGCTTAACTTTAAACTTGAAGAAACAAAAGTTGTTCTTCTCTAGCGGACAATACTTTAAATCGATAACATGGCCATCACGAAATAATTTAAAGCCCAGCAAACTTTTAAACGAACGGAGATTCTCCTCAGAGTAATCTTCCTTCCCCACTAGGTAGTTGTAAAGGTCTCCGAAGGTAAACTCCGGGATGTTAGAAAAGTTGTTGGTCCAAGCGGTTAAGGTTTTAGGATCTGGCAATTTACCATCGTTTGTCCGCAGTTTGTCCTCCATCAGCTTGTTGCGGTCTTCGGCGGTATCGTCTAACTTGGCTTGTTTCATCGCTGCCGCTTTTTCGCACAAATCGACAAGCTCTGCCTTCCTCTTGCCTTTGCCCCCATCGCTTAACTGGATACCACGCTCTTTTAAATATCTTTTTAAATCATGGACTTTCAATTTCGAAAAATCTTCGTCAGCACAAGCAACATTGCTGTCAAGAGTGGCGTCCATGTTGGATTTCTTCGCACGAAGCCTCGCTCTCGTGCGTTACTTCGGCACCAGTCTCCAATCATGCAGGAACTCGGAAATGGGCTATTCCAGCTTTGCTGTCAAAATGGCGAATTTTGGAACATTAACGGACCTTTGTACAGCACGCAAAGAGGAGTGCCCACAAATTTTATTGCATTAAGAAGTAGACTGGTCTTAGTACTTCTGTTTTATCATAGACTTGAGTCTGGGTCAGGTGCCACCTTTGCGAAATTACCGTTCAGCTCTAGTTATGCAAATTACTTTTCCGATAGGCAAATTAAAGGCCATTTTAAAAAAATCATATCTCAGCCAACTTTCCACAGAATGTAACCATTAAACCTTGAAACTATTAATCAGAGTTAAAACATTTGTGTGTAACATAATCAGCTTATTCGGCTTTGTAAGGTAGGTTTGCAAGAGCCCTAAAGTTTCCTTAAAATCGCACCACTTCCGACGGCAAACTGGCTAGGTGACCGAGAAAATCTTTCTGTAAAATAGAGAAAAAATTGAGTTGGTCCAAATAAATGTGATATTTCTTCATGGGATAGGATAGTTATCTTCCACTGGAAAAATCAGGGCAATCCGTGATAGACCAAAATTTGCCTTATCGGTTCTTACGCGGACAGCCTCTTAAGGGCTGTTCTAAAATAAGACGCGTCTTAGCTAAGTCGCGTCTTATTTTATAGGAAAATTTATTACCTGACGAGAGAATTCCGCGTTAAATTGCACGCGAAAACCGATATCGGTTTTCAAGTGCAATTTAACGCGGAATTCACGAGTCAGGTAATGAATTTTCCTTGAATCGTATAATTGAATGAAAATAAGAAAAAAAGAAAACGGCAATAATATTGTTTAATTTTATCCTCAGCGCGCGCTTCAGAAAGCCATTTCATTTCAAAGTCAACTGTCAGAACTGTCATTGCGTTAGCGAATAAGAAGCAAGGTCAGTCGTACACGTGTGAACCTTCGACAATTTTATTTGTACCTCGTGCTTGTTTTTACACTTGTTTTCAAACTTTTTAAACAAGCTTCGCAGTAATTTTAAGGATAAATAGTGGTATTTCACTGGATTTATAAGACGTTTATCTATAAAACTTTTTTTAAAATTTCCAAATCATTTGCTCGAGAAGGAAAATAATTGACATCTTTTACCTCTGCGGTGGCAAACCGATGCTATGTTTAACACTGTTACAAATCTGTTAAACTCTCGGGTAGTCACATTGTGCAGATAACTTCAGTTCTCTACTGTACCTTTCTCAGTGGACTGTGTCCCAAGCTGTAGTAAGCACTGTCATCTTTCATTCAATTATATTAATGCTCTATTTTATGGAAGAATAATTATTTATAGTGTTTTCTGACCCCTATTGGTCATAAGGTGGATAATACTATCCACTGAATGAATCTTTATCCACTAAAACAACAACAACAATAGTCTTTATTTCCCTTACCGAGTTTTACAAGAGTGCACTGGCCCGCAGGTAGCTAGAGCTAAACGTTGCGGGCCAGTCAATTTACGTTTCGGAAACATTTAATTTTTATTCTTTTATGTACAAGTTTGTTCTTATACATGAAATTAAAATGAGGAAAGATGATGTAAAGGGGACAAAAAAATTATAGTCCTGAGTGCATAAAACATTTACAAGAGATACAGTTTTTAGGAAAAAGCTGGAAGGCGCAATTGGTTTTCTTACAATGATCCCCTGGATAGTGATTTATCCGTGGAAAGCCCTATGCAGTTTTTGACCAATTGAGACCAGGCCCACATTTTTTATTGCTCCAAAATGCTCTGATTGTAAAAAGTACAAACAACAAAAGGGAGAAGACATTTGACAAGAAGGTTCGAGATAATGTGGATGCTTTCTTTAACAATCATTTAGAACTGGTTTGGTAAGTGTTTGCGTAACATAAGGTTGATGGCAATGTGATTATTTATATAAAACTGTTCTAAATTATGGCACTAGTATCACACTGTACGCATCTGGTACACCTTTTTACATAAGAAAGCAACATGGAACAGCATTACTGTTTTACGGTCTTGATAGAAAAGGACGTTGTTCTGTCAAACCCAGTTTTCTTCATTAACTCGTCCCCATAGTTCACTAAGTCGTACAAACCTGATGACATTCATCAGCAACCTCAATCCCAACGGTGAACATGCGAACGCACTTACTTATCCCCAGTTGCTGCTAGTTTTTTGAGTTGGCGTTCTTTGCGGATGGTTCCTTCTAAAATGTTCTGTAGTTGGTAGCCGATACCATTTGTTCAATTGCACAAATTTTAGGCATCCTATGGATGAACGGTTAGGTTACGACAGTTAGATATTCGCTGTTTGCCAGGGCAGAAATCGTCTCTAATGTGATTCGCGTGGCCAATTGAAGCCGAACATTTCGACCTAGCTTTTTTCGTATATCCAATGAGCAATCACGAATCTCAACGAGATGAGATGTCATGGTCTACATTTCTGTTAATTCGCTTCAAAGTCTCCTTAATTGCGCTTCGAAACTCTCTTACTCTCCAAAAATAAACAAAAGGGTTGAGGGAAGAATTGATGAAAATAATCGTACCAGAAACCTCCAAAGACATTTTCTTGGTTACACTATTCCCAGTTAATTCTATGGCCGCTGCCGTGCAAAGGTAAGGAAAATAACAGAGGAAGAGAACAAGGCAAACAATGAACGTGTTCAAAACCGATCTTGTGTAACTGGTAAAATTGACGCGGGTTGAGGACTTGCTTACTTGGAAATGTGTTTGATTGTGAATATCTTTACGATGTCTTCTAATAACTCTATAAATCTTAAAGTACATTAGAACTATGACAGAGAAGCATGTAGTCGAGGAGATAAATCCCAGGAGGTAAAACACTCGCAGATTCTGCGTCCATGTATATCCCCAAATGGCAGATAATAACCATGAACCAAATATAGAGACTATTATCTTGTTATTTGTGACAATGTTATGATACCTCAAGTGCAGAAACAACACAAGAAATCTGTCAATGCTGATTAAAGTTGCCGTTATAAATGACACTCCTGACAGTAGACTCGAAGTGACATCAAAACTATAGAGAAGAGCTCTGGGGGCATCTTCACCGGTGACGAGGAAGTAGAGTCTAGATATGATATACAATGGTTGTGTCACTGTTCCTACAAGAAAGTCGGTCAGCGAAAGGGAAAACAGAAGAGCATTTGACGGCGAGTGAAGAGATTGTGTTCGCCAGATTGAAATGAGAATGATAGTGTTCCCTGGTGTGGCAATAAAGAGAGTTATGGCGTTTACAATACAGTTTGCTATCAAACATGACCGTAATCTTGCCAATGAATCGGTCCGGTTAACTGCGTATTGGTCGATGAATTCGTTCATTTTCGTTCTCCATAAATCAACCACTTATACTCTGCTGTAACTTGTCCCTTTATCGCTTATAGCACTCCAAGAACTGAAGATATTGCTGGGAATGTAAAGATAAAGGCGGCGTTTGTTTTGTTTATTATTCCAACATGAACGGATAGCAGCTCTTGGGTTTCGTAACTTATTATCCGAATGTTCCTCAAATAAAACAGTATGGACATGTAAACAATAATTTTAAGACAATCACACGCTGTCATTAATATTCTAGAGGGCAGCAGTTTCGAAGAACCCAGAGGAACCATATGATGCGAACTGTATTTATTTAGATTCTTTATTATGGCCTTATTGAAATTCTAAATGTCGTGGGAATGAACATTTAAGGAAACGGAAAAATTTTTGCTTAATTTTCAGTTGCCCTACTAGAAGATTCTTTTTATCGTCATTACATATTAAATGAAATGTAATCTTTTGGTGACGGACTCATGAAACCCCTTGTTCATCTTTTTAATTAAAAAATTGAAAAGAGGCCACATTGAGGCACATTCATTGGAAAACCGCTTTTCTTATCTGACAAGCAAATTATCCGGACTTATCCTCCAGGTATTTAAGCTTAATGACATTTATATAATTTAAAGGCAGGATATTGCTCTGCTGGAAAAAAGTCCCTTACGAGCTTTGATTCAAGAACATCACGATGTGATTAAACAATGTAATCATCCATGTCATCGACAGCTGCACCGTAGTTTGTGTTTCTGTTCCGCCTATTTCCTTAATGCTCATTCAGTGTCAGTTTTTACAACTTTTCGCTGCATCTCCAACTTGAAAACACTTGAAAATAGACCCTCCAACAGCGAATATCTAATATCCATCGACACTACTGGAAAGAGCGCCCTAAATAAGTAACCTTCTCCAGTTTTGTATTTGTGTTTTGTATTTTATTTACTCCATTCTATATATATAATACATCAGTTGTACAGAATTAATTAGTAGAAAGTTGTTTAAACTACGTGTACATAAAGGTTAGCTAGAAAATTTAGAATGGTGAAGGGCACATTACAGTAAAACTAATCCGGTTATATCACCCTTTAAGGTGATAACGCCTTCCAAACTAAAATGTGGCTTTCCAGTTGGGGAAAATTCAGAAAAGTATTGATATTTGATGCTGGAAAAGTTTGTGTCTCCCAAAGGTTTTCGCTAATTAGAAGGAGAAAAAGGAAGTGTTCAGTTGAGTCCACGAGAAACAACGCATCCAATTTTCCAATTCCATCGAATTGTACAATAGGCCACTTCTGAGTTCCAAAAACCCTCACTTTCAAAATGAGGCCTAGTGCACAACCTTTCTTGTGAAAATGAGTTTTATTTGAATGAGAATGAAGAGTCATTTCGATATCAAAGGCTGAGCACTTAACCTCGTTTTGATACAGAGGCCCGGGGGAACTCGGAAATGGTCTATTTCATGTAAAAGAGATCGTGCACCCATCGTTTTCCAAACCTTGGTTTAGAAAGGTCTGTTGAACTATTTTGTGGCTGAAATGAGTGATGCCCTATTCATCAAGGCAGACATTGGTCCACAACATGTCACTTTCAGAGATACGTCTCCACCTTCTTCATATGAACTTTAGCTTGTTTATTATCTCTTCAATACTTGAATACGACACATAGAAGCCCGTCTGGTAACGTTGTGATGAGAAAAATTAAAATGGTCACATTTTGGCGCTAATTAATTTTAGCCGTAGGTGATACGCTTTCTGCATGAAGAGTGGAAGAAATGCTTTGAAATGATTACGAAGTAGACTGGCTTCGATAACCAACCTAACTGAGATCGTCGTGTTCTTGAAATCATGAGAAACTAAAAGTGGATTTCCACTGTCGCGTAATTTTACTTATGTTACTGGCCGGTGTGAATTTAACTGGCTTTTCGTGTGTGAAGCCGTCGGTACATTTTTTTTCTATTCTATTTTTTTTAATTTTTTGTTCGTTTTGGACGCCGATTTTACGTGTATTAAGACCCATGAATTACGAAATACACCGCAAAATCTGAACTGAAAAAGTACAACATTTTCGATAAACCGCCAGACAATGATAAAATATTAATAAGGAAAAAGTGATACTGATAGTCACCTATAAAGCAACAAAAAGGACTGCCTAACTAATAGCGTCATTTGTTGCTAAATGCCTTAAAATAAGTTTCAATTTAAATTTATTTTAATACTGAGTTCTTCTCAGACGCCGGGTGAGTAAATAATTGGTTGCATCGGTTTTGTTTTCCTCAGGCTTGTTTAGATATTTAATTTCATGTACCCTAGCAAAAAAAGAAAGAATTTCATTGCAGCATTTACCTTCGATAACACAACTTGACACTGAACCTTCCACTTCGGCATTAAAATCAGGCAGCTCAACTGAAACGACAAATAATTACTTACAAACATAAAACAAGTTACCGTTTTCACATTCCATGGCTTCAGCTTCATTTCTTTACGGTTAACTGTTTCATTTTCAATTTCACTGGATTTGATCGGTTGATAAAAAGAGTTTATCAGCCGAATTGTCGCCATAATTGTCGACCAGCTGAGAAAGCAGACACGACAGCGTGTTTCTCAATCTGTCAATCTGTGAAGACTGGTCGCCGTTGGCGCGTGAAATACTTGCGAGTAGAGGCGAACAGATCATATGAGGGCACCGAACAACAATTACATTTTTGAATATCCCTGGTACTTAGTTTAGCAGCAAAATGCAACGCGCGTTTCAATAAAAACGTCAGCCAGTTAAAACGTGATATACGACTACAACCCTGTCGATGAAAGAATTTCAGTCTTAATCAAGCGTCAGGTACGATGGGGGAGGGTGGGCGTGGACCCTCCCTCTGCCACTGCCCTTACTTAGAAAATGTTGCAAGAAGTTGCTCATAAACTTCCTTTGGCTGTTTGTCTGCTTCATTACTTTCCATTAAAAGCACATCTGTTGTGCAGCTGGACACACGTCTGTCCACCATTTTTTTAGCCACTGCCTAGTACCCCACGACAAATCAGTTGACAACCTCAGTCATGAGAAGGCCTGAAAGACAATTTAATGCAACAACAAACTCACTTTTCAATATACAATGCCTTATTCTTTCATGACTTTGATTAAGGATTGGAACCCTTCAGGGGTTTTGAATTACATAGTTTTAATATTACAGCAAAATGAATTCAGTGTTCCATGATTGTAACTACAGCTGTATCGCCAGTCCCATAACAAATCAAGTTCATTTTACTATTGGTGCCAGTGTATCTCAATACCAATCCTCTTTATCTTCCAGGATACGTATTTTCGAAAGGAAGTCGAAGCTATCGGTATTATTAGCTTATTGTTATCTGCAATAAATGTTAGGTTTGAAAATCAACAATCAATCTCAAAGCAGAGCAGTAATAGTTGCTGGTGAGCTTGGTTATTACGATTCTCGACAACTATTATAACAATTTAGGACAGAACAAGTGCACCTACATCGTACAATATCATAGACGTAGTTTTTGTGGTTCAATTTTATCCTTGGTTTAAATTTCATTTTTCTTAGTTTCGCGGTTTGTAGTAATGTGTGATGATGAAATTGGAACTGAGGAAAACAAACATTTAACCAAGGCTAAAAGTCAGCCACACCTTTTTGGCGTCACTTGATCTAAAGTGGACATTTTTAATGTGCTTTCAGTGTCCCTGTGAAAGCGCTCCTTGTATGAACGGCGGACAATGTCTACCCAAATAAAAACGAATACTTACCTCTTCGACTGTCAACCAGGATTTTGTGGAACTCACTGGGAGAAGTTAGATGTATACTGAATCACGTAGATTACAAATTCCGGAATAAAAGTAGATTATATAAGTTATTTTGTAAATGGCTCGTGAAAATAAACTAGATAAATTGCAACTGTAACTTCTGCAGTCTGTTAATATTATTGTTAACCATTATCGTTTTCCACCCCGGCCCGTACTAAAAGCCTTAACCGCTTACAGACTATGTAAAGAATTCTTGTAAACATGAAATATATTTGGAGAGAAAATTCGGAATCTAACTCTAGGTGAAAGTGTTAAAGACCAGATAGCTTCTGGATCAGCATATTGTTGATCAGATTTCAAAAACAAAGATCAATTCTATTTTATTTTCGAACGTTGACGTCAGGCATTACATTTTCTTTCACGAACTAGCTTTCACCATTCCAGCGGAAATATCCATATCCCTAGGTACAGGTTTTCTTTCTATTCCTTATGAATAATAGATTTGGAGCCTAATTACCATAATCGGCAGAATGTTGATCAGCTTTTAAAAAGAAATTGTCCATTTGTTTCATTTTCTAACCCTGACGTCATGCTAGGCTATATATATCCCTACCACAAGACTTACAAGCACTGGCTAAACCCACATAACTGTGCTTCCACGACTGGACTAGCTCTCACCACTCTGCTAGACATATGCGAATGGCTCTGGTTTATTTTCCTTATGATTTTTTAAAGCCAAATGTTGATGTGCATTTAAAAAGCAATAAGGAATTGCTTCATTTTCGAACGTTGACGTCATACCATATATTTCCTTTCTTGAAGCAAAGCTAAGTCACACCATATAACAGAGACTCCGTGAATCAGCTTTCTACGCTCGGTGGACATATCAGAATTCCTGTGAGTACAGATTTGTTTTTTATTCTTTAGAAATTATAGATTTTATAGCACAACTCTCTTTGTAGCTATGCTATACTCAGTGACCGTCACTAACCGTTCATATTCTCAGAAATAGACGAAGAAACAGGGATTCAAGACGCTAAAAGCATTTTTGATGTTCTTTTTTCTAGTTGTACTGTATATTCATCTGCTTTTGGATAAATAATGGAGAAATAGATATAAACAACAACCTTTCAAGTTGATGACATTAAAAATCACGAAAAATCATATCGCCATTATTCTAGTTCGTTCGTTCGCGCGTTCTTTTGGGGAAAAAAATCAGAATGAAAGGAAATAACAGAGAACACTTCCTAACAGATTCGCTAACTCTACAAAAATAAAGTCGCGTAACCTCTGCTTTCTCCTTAATGCATTAAAACTTGTTTTAGGCCATCTAAAGTGCTATTTTAAGTTTAACAGTTGTGCATTCTAGGAGAAGCGGTGGCTGCGGTTCTTATCTGTTTGGTCACCATAGGACAAGTTTGAATTTAAATTTATTGGGTTCTCTCACTTCCAATACGAAAACCGTAACAGTGCGGTTGATTGCTATTTTAAATTTTTACGAAAGCGAGGAATTTTTTAATACCTCTTTCCGTCACTTTTCTCGAAACTGAAATTTTACTAGTCTTTATAACAGGTACTTGCCAAATCTGGAGTCGAGTGATCTGTTAAAAAGGAGACTCCCCTTCAGAAAATCGCATATAGGGAAGTTAATAGAAACACTCTCAAAAGTATAGATTGAAACAATCATCTGGAAATTTTTACTCTTCTTCTAGGTAAAGAAATGTCTAGGCAATATTCGCTTCTTCGAAAAGATGTTTTACAGACATTCAGTGGGTTCCTATGAAAGAATCATGCCGCGGAATGCCTTTTGACTCTGATCAATTTTCAGTGTCACAGAAACTGAAATATTGAGTAAAAAAAACGCCAAACAAGCACGATATTCGTCATTAACTCTTTTGTATTATGGGTTTTCACATGACCTCAACAAAATTCAAACTAAGAAACTATCGATTCTTCTGATTTTCTACTTTCATGAGGTATTACAGTACCTAAACAACTTTATTTACACAAATTTTGGGTTCCAAAGGGTTCTTCTTTTTGCGATAGAAGACGCTTGAATTTCCAGGCTTTTGCGTGACGTGGCATTTGCCTGGCTGGCAGGAAAGCTCTTATGTGGGTTAAATTACTGATTTTTTTGAGATTTTGCTATCTAAACATTCCTTGTCTTAGAATGAATATTACTTTAATGTTTATAAGTTCCTCAAGTTATGAATTCACGCATAAGTAGGAAAACTCAAAGACAGATGTTTCTGTTGGTTTCCGGCGGGCATATTTGTGCCCCTCAAAGGGACAACAACATGGCGTCTCCATACGAAGTCTTATAAATCTGGGTAAAAGGTTTTTCCGAAAGTCTCTCATATGAATATTATTATCGCACAGACTTGATTCTTTGCGAGGCTTTTTGTATATTTATCTTATTTCATTTTCGCGATTCTGGACTTTCCGTATTGACTGATTTGTATTTCTATTTTGATGGCGTGACAATCTCTGGGTAACTTTTCTTGCTGAAACCTGACAATCAAAACCACAGAATAAAGACTTTCTCTTCAGGCGTTTTCCTCAGCTTTATTCATGATTTTAGGCATCTTTATCGTAAAACGTTATGAATTCAACCCCGAAGAGCAACTCGAAGGAGCAGAGCCATGTCGATAACCTGTTTATAATCCTTCCACGTCTTGCATGCGTGCCGTTTACTTTAGGACACTGCGCATGGGTGCGGCAATAGGTTTCAAAGGGTCGCCGAGGTTAAGTCACAACTGCCACTCCTCCATGTAAATGGAAGGATAGGTTTTACTAAGAGAACAACGAAATTACCCCTTTTCTCTATCCTTAGCTGTCCCTTATCAAGACGTCTAGTAACCCTTGGTAACTATTCTATAAGTATATTTCAGGTCATATTCACCAGAGTAGTTTAGGGTATATATGGTAAGCTGCGCTTCTCTCATCTTTAGGGGGGTTACGTTTAGCTACTTTTCTTCCTGTACATTGGAACACTCGTACAATAGTTCTGGTTTTGTTGTTGTGTTGTTTTATTGTTTGTTTTTGTTTTTCAGATAACTCCCTGCGCAATACTACCGATACATTTCATGAAACTTAGCGCCCACACTCTCTTAACGTTTTTTTTCTGTTTTTCAGATGCAAAAAAAATTAAGTTTTGGCAATTGGATTAAGACGACAAGTTGACTCGATCCTCCTTCTTAAAATTTCTGTTTAAGGTAAGATATTTTCATCCGCCTGCTTAGGTACATCACGTTGCATTCGTGAAAGAATGAACGGAATTTGGGTTAAATAGTGCTAGAATCGAACATTAGATAAAAAATGGGGGCGACCTGCTGATTTTTGCTTTCTAAGTTACTTAATCTTCCTTCGCTAGTGCTTTCAGCATTGATGACAGCGTGCAGTTCAAGCTTTCCTCCAGCACTATTCCTTGCGGGACAATACACCACAAGAAAAGCCTCTAACGTTAGTTCTTCATGGAACTGAGCTTATATTTCAATATACACGAGATAAACACTTACAATAGTCTAGCAGTAGCTACGGTACCTGCATTATGCATGTATCTTAAGCGCTATGCCTACCCTTGCCGATACGGAGATTTGGTTTACCATTTTGCAAGACTGGTTCCGGACATTTCTATCATAAATAACCACATAATGGACTTGTTTTATGGTCGGTGGCATCATCTGCTTACAAGGTATAATCATGATTTCCTATCCCCTCCCAAGCTTCGCCAGTATGGTGATGCCATCCAACAGGCCTAATTGATTAGTGGGGAATCTATTTGGCCCAATTGAGGGAAGACGCCATGACAGTTTCATGCTGCTGCCTCCGGATTCTTGCAGGAACTGCAGAGGTTTTCCAACTGCCACGTAACTGGCCTTCCTTCTGTGTGTACGGTGACCCCGCCATCCGATACGTGCACACCTACAAAGGCCCTACAAAGGCGCAGTCCTGACCCCAGCTCAACAAGATTTTAACACCTCAATGAGCACAGTTCGCTCTTCCGTCGAGGGGATATTCGGGGATCTTGTCGTTGAACTGCATCAGTCCAAAGGAAATTCAGCGCGTTTTTCGTTTTTGGAGACGGATTCTCATCTGCACGTGATGTGTTAAGGGTACTTGAGTTGGCTGACATTCTCTTCTTGTTCTGTTGTTTCTCTTTCAATACTTCCTGTACCAGTTGCAATTTGCCTCCTTTACGATCCTCCGCGTCACTGCTCTAAGCCTTTCTCCTCTGACAACACATAGCGTTCATTCCATATATCTCTCCTTTTTTTGTTAACCCATTTTGTTCTAGAACAGTCTCTGGGGTGCTGTCAACAGCCAAACAGTCCATCTAGGAAATTCAATAACAAATGAATTTTATTAAATCAGAGCATGCAACATTGAGTAAGAAAAATGTATAATTTTTGGATTAAATGCAGTCAATTCTAAGACTACAGTTAATTTCCTGTAAAATTTAGCTTAAATGTTCTCCTTACCACAGCACTTTTTATCATAATAGGGAAACCGCAAAGTTGTATATGGGCTTGTCTTTGATTTATTTGAACTGCAAACACCCCAATTGACCATTATTTTAGCTGTCTATTTATATAATGTAAGCTCTTGCAATTCACCAGTTTGCTAACCTAGAATGTCAATGTGGCCTGCATAGAACAAAGGACAGGTAAATGCTGTTATCAATGAACCCTACCACACACCTAGCGATAGTTCATACATATAGCGATAGTTCATACATATGTTGTCGAGACCAATTTAATAGGAATACCCTGCCACTTTATAGCCACTTAAATCTGCTGCTCCTGCAGTCCTGCTGCATTCAGAAGTCTAGCCAATATGTTTTGACGCAATCATATTTGGCTTTGAGAATAGATATATAACTATGATGCACATAACATTAGGACTTTTCGCACAGGGACACTTTCTGTACCCAATAGCAATCCCCCTACACTGCGACATGGGGGATCCTTCACTGCCATGCCCTCTTATGCTGCACAACAATAATAGCTTGTCAAACCAACACTTTGGCTAAACATCCCCTTTAGAGTTACGTCCCCCGTCAAAGTTCTATTAGTATATACACATTCAGTGATCTTGGTGATTTAAGCAATATGGCCCCGGTTGTTCAAACGTTGGATAGCGCTATCCAGTGGTTAAATCTCTATCCAGTGGATGGTGCAATTGGTTTCCCTAATACTTATCCGCTGGATAGTGATTTATCCGATGGATAGCGCTATCCAGCGTTTGAACAACCGGGGCCTGATTGGTGCGCTATCTCGGACTATTCAACAATATTCACCTCTTAGCGAGTGGATAATGTGTGAGCTAGGTTTTTTCCCATTCCTTTAGAGAACGGTCTTTTAAAAGTCGACAAAATCCTAGGGTTGACTATTTTTTTAAGCAAGGAAAGACTTCGAAGGATTCAAAACAGCGTTTTTCCTTTTACTGTAACTGAGTTTTGTGGTCGATGGATTGTTTACAACTCCTGTTTATTCGCGTAGAAGAGGCTGTTTCGTGAACTCAGTTTTGTTTCCTAACAAGAAAAAGTTTATTTATGACAAACAAATTTGAAAGCAAATGTTTGCAGAAATTCTACGTTTCAAGTACATAGGACAAAGAATGCTACATGAAGACGACGTCTTACCTCGAGGAACCGAGCTACCATTTTTTCAGCACTTCATGCGAAGAACGACGCAACGAACCTTTCGGCAATAAACTTGGCGAGTCAACATAAAACAACAAAGCTCTTCTTTTCTTCTCAGGTAAGGAAACAATTCAAACTTTAAACAGTCCTATTAAAGCCATTACGCTGTGATAAGCTTGTAAATTGCCATGAAAATTGTACAAAGATCTATTTTTAAACTTTCCCGTGATTTGATCTGTCAATCAAATCGTACTTTTTAATGGTTTCCTCTCTGATTTTGTTGAGATCACTTCGTGTGTATATACTAAAACAATTATTCTTTTCAATCTCGGTGAATAGTGGCTTTAGGAATATTTACCTCGCCGCTTTCGCGGCTCGGTAATTAATTCAGCCACTATTCACCTCGATTTCAAAGAATAATTGTTCAATATGCAAATTTATGAAGATAAACATTAGGAATATGGTAAATCAATGAGGGCTTAAAAAATCTAAAAAGGCAAAGGAAACGGAGGAGCTAAAAATCCTTGTTTACGTTTCACGCAAGCCTGTTGAATTGATATCCACGCCGATCAGTGTCAAGCATCTCATTGAATAGAAAATATTCTTCGAAAAGCAGAGTAATACAATTCACTCCGGTCACCACCGAAGGCTGAAATCGACTGTTCTACATATCGTTGCTCCGATTTTAGAAAATTGCATTCCAGAGAACGATCTTTTGTTCATCAATCAGAAATAGTACAGAACAGGACATCAAGGAAACATACCTCCTCCACACTCGCCTCTCTTGTGTCATCTTCGACTGACTCTGCCATTTTCTTCCAGGTGCTCCTGTACTGCGCATGTGTGCCATCTGGCCATTGTTCGTGAAGTAACGTGAGCTTGCAAGTAAGTTATGTGCGATCGCAAGTTAGTAAGTTGCGATGAGAAAATGCATGTGACCCTTGTGGGCCACCGTACCTTCACGAACTATAGACATACATACGTAGTTTTAAACATTCAAATATCATCTTGATACATCGAAACTCTACTGATTTAAGTGCCAATCCAGCTTAATTTTGCCAACCCAGGTCAACCAAATCTTTCGTAAATGCGTTTTTTTGGGCAAGTCTATGTAACAAAGAACAGAATGGGTCATGGAATCACAGCTAACATAGCGTCAGCTTATCTTTACACTTCTTAATAAATATATACCTGACCCAATCACAGATTTGTCATTGTAATAGAAAAAAATATTTATTTTGAGGAAAAATTACTTTTTTTCAAGCCATTACTAAAACCAAGGGGATATCGATTATAACGTTTGTGACTCGCTTCTTTCATTTTAAAGTTATCGTGTTTATAACTCTACTTCCGAATATCAATTTTCTAATTTTTCTAGTCTTTTTTTTTTACCTATCTTTCAGAGAAGACCCTCATGGACAAGGTTCCAAAAGAGATTTTCGCCGGCATGATTGCTGCAAATTTCCTTTGGAACACTAAACGAGTTGTCCAGGCTGTCATGCTTTGGAGCGAGTGTTTAATACTCGTAAACAACAAAGCCTTAGAGAAAGAAAATGACTTTGCCAGAAAAGTTAGAATAGCCCTCTACAAAAAGGTGTTTTATGGGTATGCTGCTATAAGGAATCTTTCACCCGCGATAGAATCTGGCAAAAAACTTTTAGTCCTACTTCGTAATTGTAAGAAAAAGAAAGAAGAAGGTGAGACAACCTCAATGCTAGCAACATTGTACTACCGAAAACGTGAATACAAGGAAGCAGAAGCATTCCTCAAAAGAGCACTTACCATCAAGACAGAATTTGGTGACAAAGACGGAGAAGCGTCATGCTACATAAACCTGGGAGCCGTCTCTCAATCTGTCGGAGAATATCCCAAGGCTGAAAAATATCTTCGTAAAGCACTTACCATTACGACAGAAATTGGTGACAGAGATGGAGAAGCGACATGCTACGGAACCCTAGGAGCTGTCTTTCAATCTGTCGGAGAATATGCCAAGGCTGAACAATGTTTTCATAAAGCACTTACCATCAAGGCAGAAATTGGCGACAAAGACGGAGAAGCTTCATGCTACGGAAACCTAGGAAGGGTGTTTCAATCTGTCGGAAAATATGCTAAGGCTGAAGAATATCTTCATAAAGCACTTACCATCAAGATAGAAATTGGCGACAAACACGGAGAAGCGTCATGTTACGTAAACCTGGGAGTTGTCTCTCAATCTGTCGGAGAATACGCCAAGGCTGAAGAATATCTTCATAAAGCACTTACCATCAGCGTAGAAATTAGCGACAAACACGGAGAAGCGACATGCTTCATAAACCTGGGAGCCGTCTCTCAATCTGCCGGAGAATATCCCAAGGCCGAAAAATATCTTCGTAAAGCACTTACCATCACGACAGAAATTGGTAACCGACATGGAGAAGCGACATGCTACGGAACCCTAGGAGCTGTCTTTCAATCTGTCAGAGAATATGCCAAGGCTGAACAATGTCTTCATAAAGCACTTACCATCAAGGCAGATATTGGCGACAAGGACGGAGAAGCTTCATGCTACGGAAACCTAGGAAGGGTGTTTCAATCTGTCGGAAAATATGCTAAGGCTGAGGAATATCTTCATAAAGCACTTACCATCAAGATAGAAATTGGCGACAAACACGGAGAAGCGTCATGTTACGTAAACCTGGGAGCCTTCTCTCAATCTGTCGGAGAATACGCCAAGGCTGAAGAATATCTTCATAAAGCACTTACCATCAGCGTAGAAATTAGCGACAAACACGGAGAAGCGAGATGCTGCATAAACCTGGGAGCCTTCTCTCAATCTGTCGGAGAATATCCCAAGGCTGAAAAATATCTTCGTAAAGCACTTACCATCACGACAGAAACTGGTGACAGACATGGAGAAGCGACATGCTACGGAACCCTAGGAGCTGTCTTTCAATCTGTCGGAGAATATGCCAAGGCTGAACAATGTTTTCATAAAGCACTTAACATCAAGGCAGATATTGGCGACAAAGACGGAGAAGCTTCATGCTATGGAAACCTAGGAAGGGTGTTTCAATCTGTCGGAAAATATGCTAAGGCTGAAGAATATCTTCATAAAGCACTTACCATCAAGACAGAAATTGGCGACAAAGTCGGAAAAGCGTCATGCTACATCAACCTGGGAGCCTTCTCTCAATCTGTCGGAGAATATGCCAAGGCTGAAGAATATCTTCATAAAGCACTTACCATCAAGACAGAAATTGGCGACAAAGACGGAGAAGCGTCATGCTACATAAACCTGGGAGCTGTCCTTCAATCTCTCAGGGAATATAGCAAGGCTGAAGAATATCTTCATAAAGCACTTACCATCAAGACAGAAACTGGCGACAAAGACGGACAAGCGACATGCTACATAATCTTGGGAGCCGTCACTCAATCTGTCGGAGAATATGCCAAGGCTGAAGAACATCTTCATAAAGCACTTACCATCAAGACAGACACTGGCGACAAAGACGGACAAGCGACATGCTACATAAACTTGGGAGCCGTCACTCAATCTGTTGGACGATATGCCAAGGCTGAAGAACATCTTCATAAAGCACTTACCATCAAGACAGAAACTGGCGACAAAGACGGACAAGCGATATGCTACATAAACTTGGGAGCCGTCTCTCAATCTGTCGGAGAATATGCCAAGGCTGAAGAGCATCTTCATAAAGCACTTACCATCAAGACAGAAACTGGCGACAAAGACGGACAAGCGACATGCTACATAAACTTGGGAGCCGTCTCTCAATCTGTCGGAGAATATGCCAAGGCTGAAGAGCATCTTCATAAAGCACTTACCATCAAGACAGAAACTGGCGACAAAGACGGACAAGCGACATGCTACATAAACTTGGGAGCCGTCTCTCAATCTGTCGGAGAATATGCCAAGGCTGAAGAACATCTTCATAAAGCACTTACCATCAAGACAGAGACTGGCGACAAAGACGGACAAGCGACATGCTACATAAACCTAGGAAAAGCCAACATTCTAACTGGTGAATGTGCGAAGGCTCAAAAATATTTCCAGAATGCTCTTCAAATTAGCAGGGGGATTGGAAACATGGAGTTGCAATATCATGCTTTTATTTTCCTACATTTTTGTGTTTTATCATTAAAAGGAAACGCATCTGAAGCCTTATCCAATCTCTTTGGAAGTATTCAAATTTGCGAAAAAACGCTTAGTTGTCTAGGAAACAAAGATCGTCGCAAGATATCATTTTTTGACAACCACGCCTATCCCTATCGGTTGTTTACTTCATTGAGTTGTTCTTGTGGGAAACCCTATGAAGCTTTACATGTTGCTGAACTTGGACGTGCCAAAGCTCTAGCAGATCTTATGTCAAATCGGTACTCCATTGAAAAAGAGTTATCTATCAACACACAATCGTTTGTTGGCATTCAGGAAGTAATCACTAAGAAAAATGGCAACAGCACCTGCCTATACATCGCCTACCACTCTGATGATATATTTTTGTGGATTTTGAAACAAAGCAAACCGGTAGCTTTCCGAAGAACGAAACTTTGTGAAAGCTACGGTAGCAAACACGTCAAAATCTCTGTGGATGACCTCTTCTCTTCACACGCTAACCAACTTACAAACGAATCAAATCTGGAAGATAGTCTCTCATCCTTGCGTCTTTCTTTAGATGAGGAAGAACAAAACACAGACCCTGAACCGCCAACACTTTTTCAGGTTTACAACATGTTGATTGCTCCCGTAAGTGACTTGCTAGAAGGATCTGAAATCATTGTTGTTCCTGATCGCTGCTTCTTCCAAGTTCCGTTTGCAGCGTTACATGATGCTGAAAGTAATTGCTATTTATCAGATTCTTTCAGGATACGCATTGTCCCTTCTTTGACGACTCTTAGGCTCATTCTGGACAGTCCAGCGGACTCACACAGCGAAACTGGTGCATTGATTGTGGGTGAGCCAAGTGTGACGAATGTGTATTACAAGGGAGAGTTATGGTACCTCTGTCCATTGCCTGTCGCTAAAGCGGAAGCAGAGATGATTGCGAGACTACTACCTGAATCTCACCTTTTAATAGGAGAGCAAGCAACAAAGCAGGCAGTTCTTCAAAGAATACCCTCAGCGAGTCTCGTGCATTTCTCTGCTCATGGTCACGCCGAAAGAGGAGAAATTGCTCTTACCCCTCCCAACTCCACAATAGGGATTCCACATGAAGCAGACTACTTACTGTCAATGACCGACATTTCACAAGTTAGACTGTCAGCCAAACTGGTGGTGCTTAGCTGTTCTCATTCCGCACGTGGGCAGATCAATGCAGAAGGCGTTGTTGGAATCGCTCGAGCATTCTTAGCATCGGGTGCACGCTCAGTGTTGGTGGCACTGTGGGCCTTAGAACACAGAGCAACACAGCAGTTCATGAGAAGATTCTACGAAAACCTTGTCCAAGGAGAAAGTGCAAGTGAATGTCTTCACCGGGCCATGAAGTGGATGCGGAATAACGGTTTCCCTGAAGTGAGGCAGTGGGCACCTTTCATGCTGATTGGGGATGACGTTTCATTTCACTTTGGTGAAGAAAAGTGAAGGTAATTGCTCTCTGATAATTAGGGCCATAGGAAGTCTGCCAGGTCTTTTTGTATTGGAGTTTTATCAACTTGGGTACATTTGGTTCTTTTAAGTACTAAATAAAAAACACTATTTACCCGTAAAAGCCACATTATTGACTACACCTGAAGTCAGCTTTGTACTATGACTGAGGTGAGATATCAGTCAACCGCTTTTTAACATCAAAGATTAACTAACCACCACAATTATTCGTCCAGACTGCTGTATTTTATCAGTCAAAATTATAACCCATGCATTTGAAAACTGAAAGAACACTAAAGCCCCGTATCCCTACAGTAACACAATGATTTTTTAAAAGTCTTTTCTCTTTTTCCTGATATATGAGGCACAAATAATTGAATATTCTTCTATTTGCTACCGCTCAATATGAACGTGAGGGTTTGCTGACAAACTGTTTTCTCTCTTAATATAATGGGATGTGAATTCCAGATATGAAACTAAAACAAACAGCCAAGTAGTTTTTTGTTAGATATAAGGATAATCGGAATAAAAATGTTATGGCGGAGATCTAGATCTGGGAATTGATCGAAAACACTGAAAACTACAAATTGTAGACTGTGTATGGAGTCTTGACTGAAACTAGAGGGCTTTTTGCCGACACTAACTAAAGTACAGCAGTACACTGGTTCTTAACTTGGACCAAAGAGGGACGACCGAGATTCCAAAGGTCACCAAGGCAAAAAGTTTCAAACCTATTTTAGCTGTGCACCCTGCTTTTCATTTATGATGCCAATAACGGGAAAGTTTTAGCGGTGAGATAAACTTAAATAAGTAGACTTCTTCCGTCACGATAAAGCCGGAGGATCCCTCTTCCATGTGGAATGAACCTGAATGCCACTTACCCCAGCTGGAGTCTTTTGAAATGAATATATGTGTTTTACTAATTTTTTTGTTTCTCATACATTACTGTTGCAGGTGTTACACTAACGACACACCAGGGAATAACGAAACAGCCTTTCCGCAGAATTCCAATGAGGTAGTCCTTAGCGGAAAATGTAGAGAGTTAACCTCTGCAGCATACGAACATATCCCAGACTTGAAGAATTAAAAGAGAACTGACTTGCTTAGTCCAGCTGTTCATCTTTGCTGGCTTAATTATTTTTCTCGCTGTTTTTAATTTTTGTTTGCGTGTGTCTGTGTAGGTACCCTGAGTACTCTAATCTCTAAAACGTCTTGTAAAAGTGTCGGACAATGATAGATACACTAATAACATCAGGATTACATAATTTCCCTATCTATTTACGTAATTTGTTAACTTACTTCCTTAATTATTCCCTAAGGCTACAACTAAAAAGTACTTTTCATTTAAAAGGGATTCTTAATCGCAAATTGAAGTTTGATTAAAATGCAAACAGCAATGCAAGGTTTATAGTTTAGTAGAATTGTATATATTTTAGAGCCAATCTTTTTGTGAACATAGAAGTAGTAGTTTTGCGACCTTGCATTATGAAATAAGGTTTGACGACTAAATTAAGTCAACTAAAAGCCTGGCGAAAATAACTTGTTCAAACTCCAAACTAGCCATCACAGTTGTAAACTAAAGGTTCATTGTATAATGTTCATGCCTGAGCTTAGCCTAGTATGTTAGTATAGAAGAGAAGTACTTGCTTTAAGTATCCAACTAAAATGCAAAGATTTGGTGGCTCAGTTTTCAGTAGTGCTTTGAGTAGGAAAACTAATTTCTAATTTACTAGGTCGCACATGGAGCAGAGGTTTCTTTATAATGTGTATTTATTATTCATTCAAAATATTTCCCCAATTCTGATTGGCTAAAAGCACACGCATAATTCACCATAACCAGTTACTGATGACCAAATTTGGAAGTATTTTGTGTTTAACGAGGAAATGACGTAAAAAATGCAGCCTTCTACAGGCTAATGCATCGTTAACCGAGAAGACCTGGGGACGAGATTGAGTTGTTTTCGTTGTGAAAACTAAAATGGCGCACACTTCACTCGTTTCAAGAGTAAGAACTACAGCTGGAACTAGGCGAAATAATGGCTAAAAACATAGCAAAAACAGCAAGAAACAACTCGGAGGGCGACATCTGCTATTTGGAGAATATTTGCGGAGCTGGACAAACCTAAACGTACACTATCGAAGATAAACTTAACAACGATGCAGGTAAGCTTGTTTTGGCTATGTTTTTGAACTAGGAATTATTTTGAATGAATAATAAAGCAATTAATGAATTCGTCTTTGGTAGGACATGAAGAATTAAGCAGATCTCGGAGGGTGTTATCTACCTCGGCCTTCGGTCTCTAGGGATAACACCCTTCTCGATCTGCTTAATTCTTCTTAGTATATACTAAAACAGTGGATAGTGTTTTTCGCGCGCTCTGATTGGCTACTCAATCAGTGAACATCCTGCACTATTCACTGATTCACCTCCAGTTCCTCCGAGCGAGCGACGCCAAACTCGCGTAAGTTGCGAGCAAAATGCCTTCCCGGTTTGCTGCCGTAAACAAACAAAGAAATTTCACAACTAATCAAGCCAGCTGTTTCCGAAATACACGAAGAAGGTGACGAAGTTCGGGTTGGAAGTTTTAACAGGTAAAGCTTTGTCTTTTTGACACGAATTTATCGATAAAACCAGTGAAAAAGTTTTGTTTACAAATGCAAATTAAGTTTAAGTCTTGCTGACTTTATTTAGTTGAGTTGTTCATAAATAAGCTTAAAACTAAATTTAATAATCTTTTTTGTAGAATGATTTTAAATACAAAAAGAATTCACAACTTCTTTTGAAGAAATTTCCCCGCAAGAGCTAAACAAATGCCTTCAAAAGTTATAATTGTCGGCAAGAAAAAGCGACGGCCGCAGCCGCCCGGTCATTACGCGCCAAAATTGTAATCGTTGGCAACAGTATTTGAGTTAAAAATCGTCATTTTTGTGCTCAATTCTCTCACTGTTTTAGTATATACTAAAACAATTATTCAACTCAGTGTCGGTGGCTAGTCGTGGATATTTACCTCACTGCTTCGCAGTTCGGTAAATTACCAGGACTAGCCACCTCCACTTCAGTGAATAATTGTTATATATCCTACTCAGCCTCATTCATTAATTGCTAAATATGTAATGTCGCCAGGTTTTAACTATCAAGCGTATTGGAGATAGCAAATTCAAGGAAGAAACTTTTTTGAGCCTTTCGTTGTTAAGACCTCTAGTGTTTATCCTTAATTATCTATTTGCTCTTTAACAAAAAATATTTCCTATAATATCAGAGAGACTTAGAATCACATTCACGTCAAACGGCAACGTCAATTTTTACGTGACCAAGGTATCAGTCTTAAAATATAAACAAATAAAAGAAGTTGTTGTGAACTCGCTTAAACGTTTCCGTGCGTTCCGGATCGAATTAAAATTTGGAAAGGTTGGTTTTTTGAGAGAGGGGAAAACCTGAGCACCAAGAGAAAAACCTCTCGGTAAGGCAGAGAAGCAACAACAAACCTAACCTTTCATATACCTGAAACATGAAAAAGGTACCCCTTTCGGTCGGAGCCTCCCCATAAAGGCCACTATAGGGAGTACCTCCCCTGCCCCCCGAAGGGAAGGGACGCAAGTGCTCTCACCACTGCGCCACTCTTGCTCATTTTTGGTCACAAGCTGTTTCACTTATTGCATTTGTTCTACTTGTTATATCTACAGAAAAAAAGTTAGTAGTTTCATGTCGATCAGTTTAATCCATAACAATTATTTTCAAGATTTGTATCTGTTTATTTCCTGATTCAAGGAAATGTCACCTTGGGTCTAATGTTTGCCGTTTGCCCTAAACGCGACTCTAAATCTCTCGATTTTCCTCTCAACGACTACTAAAATCCATCAATTTCGGAATCGTTGAGTTACGTTGCGACGGCAAAGTCGAAACATCAGGTTCAAGTATTACAATTACTCAAGTTACTGAGAAAATTGTCCTTACGGGTAAACCTGGCATGAAAGTCTTTATTTTTTAGTAGTAAAGATAAACATTAAATTTCAAATAAAGAGAAAGCTTAGCAACATGTTTCAAAATGGTGTTAGCCGTAGACGTGATTCTAAATCTCTAGATGCCTGCGTTGGCATTGAAGTTCTCCTAGGAACCAGTGAGGACAGGCCTGGTATCAGTTCTTTTCGGCCCGTTCCAACGTTCCTGCTTTACTTCCTAAAATCCCGAGCTAATCCTTTCTTCAAATACCGTTAGCGCAATCAAAGTAATCACAGTCATTAGGGATCACTCGATCTGTCTTAAGTACCAAGAATCTTAAAAAAATAATAATAATAACTGAAATTATTTGTTTTTTCCTTCGTGATTTACAGTCTCAAGATGAAACCAGAAAATTAAAAACATTGACGGTACCTGCCCTTCCAAAAAAATCAACAAGAAACCGTAAACGTAAAGAATGAACTGTTTTCTTTTTCAAAACCGTTTTCAAGCATTCTTCTTTTATCACAGAAATTCGACTGCGGTGGAGAAGAATTCGACGGAGAGGTTTAGTGTGAGAAATTCATCTTTAATTCTTGTTGATTCGAGTCTGCAATAAGGATCTCCAAATTTCGCTTCTGGAAAATGATTGCGGTTGGACGAAAGAAGATCGTCATAAATACTGTGCTTATGCTCACAGCATCATTTGCCACTTTCTACATTTTAACAGTTGTCATTCCATTATTGCGTGGGATTTTAAAGCTAGCAGATTCTTCCCAAAAGCGAAAAGTAATTTTATTTTACACCACAGTATTTGGAGCAAAACCATCGACAATATGGCCGACAACCTCTCTTGACACCTGCGAAGTTCCCTGTCGTATTTCTGACGACAAAAGCTCATTACTTCAGAGTGACGCTGTGATTTTTCATGGAAGAGATATGCCAGAAACAATGCCTACTCGGCGAACTACCAATCAGCGATGGGTTTATTTCATACAAGAAAATCCACATTACACCTCACCAGAACCCTTAAAGTATAACGGGATGTTTAATTGGACAATGACGTACAAGCGCTCGTCAGATGTGTGGGCTCCTTACGGCACCTACAGAACAGTTGAAAATAACGACTTGCGTAGGAGTTATTTTCCTTCAGGGGCAGGTTATTTTCTTTTCGTTTTCTTATTGGTAGCAGGTGTTGCCAAAATATTAGAGAGCTTAAGCAAAGAGGTTTTGTTTACGATGCCACGCATGTCGATCGTAAGTGGACTTTTTTCATTATTGAGCAGTGGTTTTGCCCAAATTTTTGGATAAATCGTCTCCTTGAGAGTAAAGAAATTTAACAATACAAATTTGAAGCGTCATGCCATATAACTGAAAAAGCCTCATTTCCGGCCGATTTGCGTCACTCAAAAAACGCTTTTTGCTTGAGCCGTCCCCATTGATATACCTTTCGTTGTTGGAAATAATTTTCTCCGTTAATTTTTGCTTTTGCCAAAAAACGAGAAGCAAGTCTTTAATTCAATACGCCTGTTTCAAAAATACCGTACTACTCTTTGTCTTCCCTTCAAAAGTTTGCAGAATTATTGTTTCAATTTCCTTTGGGATGATTGCAAAATTTTGGAAGGAAAACAAAGAGTATTATGGTATTTTAGAAAAAGGCCGATGCCTTTGTTCTTTTCTTCCATAAGTCTCGCGAAATATGCCTCTTTCATTTTCGCAAGATTATAATTTTAATTATAAGTGACCACGAAAATCGGTAACAATAAGGATAGGCAGTCTGGGAGAGACTCTAGGTCGATTTATTTTCGCGGACAACCATGTATATTATACAGCGGATAGTTTTAGGCAAACCAGTCTAAAAAAGACTGATTCCCCGTTTCATCTGCTCTAGACAAGAAAACCTTTTTTCGCCTAATATCAGAATGTACATGCAAAAAAAAGCAAACACTTAGCGACACCTCTACTGACCTCCTCTTCAGGGCCTCCTTATTTAAGATTACGCCGATTCGGAAACTCTTGGAAAAAACAATCAAGCCGACGGCGTGCGTGTGTGTGTTTGGGCACCACATCCGAAGAGTGTAGATTGCCCTTGAGGTATCGGTGATGCTTTTTGATTTTTATCACAGTCATCACTGCGCTCTAAATCATTGCTTTAATTATTTGATAAATATCATGTCTTTTCAAAGTCAGCTCAAAGAAGCGGAAGCTGAAGATAATATATTATTTTTTATTTCAAAACAATTCGAAATCTACTTTTCTTATTACAGTGAAATCTCGATTAACGAACCCTGATATAACGAATTCCTCGGTATAACGAATGATTTTCTTTACTCCACTGATAGAACCTTGATATGACAATACCTCGTTATAGCGAACAAATGTTGCCAGTCCATTGGCCCTTCGTTATAACAAGGTTCCCTGTAATAAATTCATTCTACAGCCTCTGGCACTACCGTTGGGCTGCCCGTGAAATTTTGGACGATATTTTTAAATATTTAAAAAGTTACTTATTTTTATTAACAGAGAGAGACTTTGCAGCTAAAAAGACCAGACTGGCGGCCTGGGCCTCCAGTCATTGTTCGTCGACGGGTTTTCTCCGAGAACAGTACGTGGAAAAGCTTCAACTCTACATTCCAGTTGACGTATTTGGTAACTGCAATCCCAGAGGACCTCGCTGCCCTCGTGGAAGCAACATGTGTAACGCTCTATTGAAGAAGTACAAGTTTTACTTGGCATTTGAAAACGCTTTCTGCGAGGATTACATCACAGAAAAGTATTGGGAGCAAGCTCTAGAACATGACATGATTCCCGTTGTTATGGGAGGAGCGGATTATGATGAACTAGTCGTTCCAAAATCATACATTAATGTACTGGATTTTTCCTCGGTTGAGAGCCTAGCATCTTATTTGAAAACGTTGGATGCAAACAGCACCGCATACAACGAATATTTTTACTGGAAGAAACAATACGAGGTTCTCTCGACCACACCTTGGTGCAGATTGTGTGAAATGTTACACAATCAGTCTTTACCAAACAAGGTGTACTGGGATTTGGGCAGCTTCTGGGGCGTGAAAGAGAGTTGTATGCGATTTTCGAATAAGATTAAAGATCAGATTTGATCCATCGTTACTCAAACAGGTAGTTTAGAAAGTGAGCTTACCACAGTTTAAAGAAACCGGGGAAACAGGGTGCGATAGAGAACACTCGCCTCACACAAGTGTGGCCTGGGTTAGAATCCTGGAAGAAACGTGTACTTTTTCTTAGACTGTGGTTTTGCCCAAATTTTCGGACAAATCATCTCAATAAAGGTGATGTTACACGAGCCTAAACGTGACTCCATTTCTGTTCAAGTAGGCGGTTGCTCGAGGACGAAGCATAACACTCGTCTGTTCCGAACAATTTCCAATTCATCTTAAATCAGGTATATTTGTTTGTCGAGACAGGCTGCTTTTACTTTCTAGGTATTTAATATCATTCAGTCGGAAGTACCTGCTAGTTTTGGACAGGGGTATATCAAACGAATATCAACCAGGGCTGTCATTAAGAGGTGGGGACCGTGGATTCCCCCCGGCTACTATGAACGTGGCCCCTGGCTACTTTCATAGGAAAACAGAAGAAAAATAGAAAATCAAAGGCTCCTAGGAGCGAGCTCATGGATGAATTGAATTAGTGTAGAAAAGACAGTTCAATAATCAAAGAAAAACATAAATCTTTTTGAACGGTTCATGGTGTACGGACTTGCCAAAATACAGCGTGACTCGAAGTATCCGATTGCAAGTGTACCTGAATATTCTATAAACTTTTTATCAGCGCAGCATTTCTACTTACAAAGCAAAGATCACTTTTAGAAGCAATTATTAACGCTTTTTAGTTGTAAAATAATTTGCTTTCTCAGGTGACTGTCAAACACTTTCCGAACGACAGTGCACTTTCTTGTAAAATAGCAAAGTCTTACATACAACCGTGGTTTTAAAAGTGCGATGCTTTCAAATAAATGTTTCCATATGATGCGTACGTAAGTACGTAACGGTTAGTATACGCAGTGCGAGCTATATTAAATACAGAATACAGGCGTTTATGGCTAAATTGAACTGCTTTAGAACGCGCTTTTAATAAACACGAGCTAAAAATTATTTTAATACGTGTAAAACGGATTAAGCTCAAAGCATTACGTGCTCTGACCTAGCCAAGTAATTTAAAAGCAGTCGAAGTATCCGATTGCCTTTCGCCAGAGACTTGTTTATACCAGCGCAGCATTTCTCGTAGAAATTACATTAATAGCACTGCTAAATGGAATCGCTGACAAACAAAAGCCTACTTTAAGGCAAAGATCACCTAAGAATTCAAGAAAAATAGCGTAACGCTTGTTGGTTCTAAAACCTGTGCTTCTAGTTGACACAACATTAATTCATTCCCTGTTTGCATACGAAGACAAATGGTCGAACGGATTCGTCCAAATAACTGAATAAACCTCAATAGATACTCCTCAATGTCGCTTTAACAATTCGAGGACAGTTTTTTTGCAGTGATTATAAGGCTCTTTGGCTTATTCGCTTTTCGCTGAACGAAATCCCATCGTCAGGCTGCAATAGCTCTTTCACACTCCTACTGATCGCATCTTCTCCATATCAAGTACAATATCGGGAACAAATGTGCACAATTCGTCCAAATATACAACATGATCCACGCTCAATTATTTCAATGTCCTTTTAACAATTCTAAGTCCATTTCTTGCGGATGATATTATCAGTGTTCTTTAAAATATTGTTATTTATACAAAACCCATCTCTATAATTGATGTGTCGGGAAAAAAACACTCGCCTTAATAGTACCCTCTAGAATATTCCAAACATATACGTGAAAGGCACTTGGAAAAAAGTAATACTAGGTAAGGGAGGTAGGAGTAACGTGTTTAATCTGACTTTAATGAATAAATTAATGAGAATCGAGTGAGTGAGTGAGTGATCGAGTGCCATTCGAGTGCCTCCAAAAGCCCATGGCATGACTTCGTCATCCATGAGCTAAAAAGAAATCTCTAGCTGTTTGATTCCCCGCCTACTTGATGTATTTCCCTGGCAACTGGAAATCTTAGTGACAATCCTGACTATCAACTCTCGTAGGATTTCACATGCATATGATGGCTCGATATCCTTGTAAGCAATATTTGAACAAATAACAGAAAAAGGAACTCCTAACTCCTAAAAGTGGGACGTACAATCGTCGTCCCAAGAGAAATTGAAAACAATGTTTAGGGAAACGAAGAGTGTTGACCACTACAGAAAATACTATATATAATGCATAAATACCATGCATAAGCATTGTTTTCAGTTACTCTTGGGGCCATTTTAACTCCCAAGAGGAACTGAAAACAATGCTTATGCAAGTAGTGGTCGATTAAGGCATGTTTTCATGTTTCAGGGACTTTACTTCAGGCCTTCACGGTCAATTCATTTCGGTGATGTATCCATCTCGGGATACGCATGAGCATTGTTGCAGAAGCAAAGATGGTTAATACGAGACCCAAAACCGTTTTCAAGCATTCTTCTTTTATCACAGAAATTCGACTGCAGTGGACGAGAATTCGACGGAGAGGTTTAGTGTGAGAAGTTCATCTTTAATTCTTGTTGATTTGAATTTTTATCAGAGTCTTCAATAAGGATCTCCTAATTTCGCTTCTGGAAAATGATTGCGGTTCGACGAATGAAGATCGTCATAAATACTGTGCTTATGCTCACAGCATCATTTGCCACTTTCTACATTTTAACAGTTGTCATTCCATTATTGCGTGGGATTTTAACGTTAGCAGATACTTCCCAAAAGCGAAAAGTAATTTTATTTTACACCACAGTATTTGGAGCAAAACCATCGACAATATGGCCGACAACCTCTCTTGACGCCTGCGAAGTTCCCTGTCGTATTTCTGACGACAAAAGCTCATTACTTCAGAGTGACGCTGTGATTTTTCATGGAAGAGATATGCCAGAAACAATGCCTACTCGGCGAACTACCAATCAGCGATGGGTTTATTTCATACAAGAAAATCCACATTACACCTCACCAGAACCCTTAAAGTATAACGGAATGTTTAATTGGACAATGACGTACAAGCGCTCATCAGATGTGTGGGCTCCTTACGGCACCTACAGAACAGTTGAAAATAACGACTTGCGTAGGAGTTACTTTTCTTCAGGGGCAGGTTATTTTCTTTTCGTTTTCTTCTTGGTAGCAGGTGTTGCCAAAATATTAGAGAGCTTAAGCAAAGAGGTTTTGTTTACGATGCCACGCTCGTCGATCGTAAGTGGACTTTTTTCATTATTGAGCAGTGGTTTTGCCCAAATTTTTGGATAAATCGTCTCCTTGAGAGTAAAGAAATTTAACAATACAAATTTGAAGCGTCATGCCATATAACTGAAAAAGCCTCATTTCCGGTCGATTTGCGTCACTCAAAAAACGCTTTTGCTTGAGCCGTCCCCATTGATATACCTTTCGTTGTTGGAAATAATTTTCTCTGTTAATTTTCGCTTTTGCCAAAAAACGAGAAGCAAGTCTTTAATTCAATACGCCTTTTTCAAAAATACCGTACTACTCTTTGTCTTCCCTTCAAAAGTTTGCAGAAGTATTGTTTCAATTTCCTTTGGGATGATTGCAAAATTTTGGAAGGAAAACAAAGAGTATTATGGTATTTTAGAAAAAGGCCGATGCCTTTGTTCTTTTCTTCCATAAGTCTCGCGAAATATGCCTCTTTCATTTTCGCAAGATTATAATTTTAATTATAAGTGACCACGAAAATCGGTAACAATAAGGATAGGCAGTCTGGGAGAGACTCTAGGTCGATTTATTTTCGCGGACAACCATGTATATTATACAGCGGATAGTTTTAGGCAAACCAGTCTAAAAAAGACTGATTCCCCGTTTCATCTGCTCTAGACAAGAAAACCTTTTTTCGCCTAATATCAGAATGTACATGCAAAAAAAGCAAACACTTAGCGACACCTCTACTGACCTCCTCTTCAGGGCCTCCTTATTTAAGATTACGCCGATTCGGAAACTCTTGGAAAAAACAATCAAGCCGACGGCGTGCGTGTGTGTGTTTGGGCACCACATCCGAAGAGTGTAGATTGCCCTTGAGGTATCGGTGATGCTTTTTGATTTTTATTACAGTCATCACTGCGCTCTAAATCATTGCTTTAATTATTTGATAAATATCATGTCTTTTCAAAGTCAGCTCAAAGAAGCGGAAGCTGAAGATAATATATTATTTTTTATTTCAAAACAATTCGAAATCTACTTTTCTTATTACAGTGAAATCTCGATTAACGAACCCCGATATAACGAATTCCTCGGTATAACGAATGATTTTCTTTACTCCAGTGATAGAACCTTGATATGACAATACCTCGTTATAGCGAACAAATGTTGCCAGTCCATTGGCCCTTCGTTATAACAAGGTTCCCTGTAATAAATTCATTCTACAGCCTCTGGCACTACCGTTATTTTTATTAACAGAGAGAGACTTTGCAGCTAAAAAGACCAGACTGGCGGCCTGGGCCTCCAGTCATTGTTCGTCGACGGGTTTTCTCCGAGAACAGTACGTGGAAAAGCTTCAACTCTACATTCCAGTTGACGTATTTGGTAACTGCAATCCCAGAGGACCTCGCTGCCCTCGTGGAAGCAACATGTGTAACGCTCTATTGAAGAAGTACAAGTTTTACTTGGCATTTGAAAACGCTTTCTGCGAGGATTACATCACAGAAAAGTATTGGGAGCAAGCTCTAAAACATGACATGATTCCCGTTGTTATGGGAGGAGCGAATTATGATGAACTAGTCGTTCCAAAATCATACATTAATGTACTGGATTTTTCCTCGGTTGAGAGCCTAGCATGTTATTTAAAAACGTTGGATGCAAATAGCACCGCATACAACGAATATTTTTACTGGAAGAAACAATACGAGGTTCTCTCGACCGCACCTTGGTGCAGATTGTGTGAAATGTTACACAATCAGTCTTTACCAAACAAGGTGTACTGGGATTTGGGCAGCTTCTGGGGCGTGAAAGAGAATTGTATGCGATTTTCGAATAAGATTAAAGATCAGATTTGATCCATCGTCACTCAAACAGGTAGTTTAGAAAGTGAGCTTACCACAGTTTAAAGAAACCGGGGAAACAGGGTGCGATAGAGAACACTCGCCTCACACAAATGTGGCCTGGGTTAGAATCCTGGAAGAAACGTGTACTTTTTCTTAGACTGTGGTTTTGCCCAAATTTTCGGATAAATCGTCTCAATAAAGGTGATGTTACACGAGCCTAAACGTGACTCCATTTCTGTTCAAGTGGGCGGTTGCTCAAGGACAAAGCATAACACTCGTCTGTTCCGAACAATTTCCATTCATCTTAAATCCGGTATATTTGTTTGTCGAGACAGGTTGCTTTTACTTTCTAGGTACTTAATATCATTCAGTCGGAAGTGTCTGCTAGTTTTGGACAGGGGTATATCAAACGAAGAGGTATCAACCAGGGCTGTCATTAAGATACGGGGGCCGTGGATTTCCCCCGGCTACTACGAACGTGGCCCCTGGCTACTTTCATAGGAAAACAGAAGAAAAATAGAAAATCAAAGGCTCCTAGGAGCGAGCTCATGGATGAATTGAATTAGTGTAGAAAAGACAGTTCAATAATCAAAGAAAAAAATAACCCTTTTTGAACGGTTCATGGTGTACGGACTTGCCAAAATACAGCGTGACTCGAAGTATCCGATCGCAAGTGTACCTGAATATTCTATAAACTTTTTATCAGCGCAGCATTTCTACTTACAAAGCAAAGATCACTTTTAGAAGCAATTATTAACGCTTTTTAGTTGTAAAATAATTTGCTTTCTCAGGTGACTGTCAAACACTTTCCGAACGACAGTGCACTTTCTTGTAAAATAGCAAAGTCTTACATACAACCGTGGTTTTAAAAGTGCGATGCTTTCAAATAAATGTTTCCATATGATGCGTACGTAAGTACGTAACGGTTAGTATACGCAGTGCGAGCTATATTAAATACAGAATACAGGCGTTTATGGCTAAATTGAACTGCTTTAGAACGCGCTTTTGATAAACACGAGCTAAAAATTATTTTAATACGTGTAAAACGGATTAAGCTCAAAGCATTACGTGCTCTGACCTAGCCAAGTAATTTAAACGCAGTCGAAGTATCCGATTGCCTTTCGCCAGAGACTTGTTTATACCAGCGCAGCATTTCTCGTAGAAATTACATTAATAGCACTGCTAAATGGAATCGCTGACAAACAAAAGCCTACTTTAAGGCAAAGATCACCTAAGAATTCAAGAAAAATAGCGTAACGCTTGTTGGTTCTAAAACCTGTGCTTCTAGTTGACACAACATTAATTCATTCCCTGTTTGCATACGAAGACAAATGGTCGAACGGATTCGTCCAAATAACTGAATAAACCTCAATAGATACTCCTCAATGTCGCTTTAACAATTCGAGGACAGTTTTTTTGCAGTGATTATAAGGCTCTTTGGCTTATTCGCTTTTCGCTGAACGAAATCCCATCGTCAGGCTGAAATAGCTCTTTCACACTCCTACTGATCGCATCTTCTCCATATCAAGTACAATATCGAGAACAAATGTGCACAATTCGTCCAAATATACAACATGATCCACGCTCAATTATTTCAATGTCCTTTTAACAATTCTAAGTCCATTTCTTGCGGATGATATTATCAGTGTTCTTTAAAATATTGTTATTTATACAAAACCCATCTCTATAATTGATGTGTCGGGAAAAAAACTCGCCTTAATAGTACTCTCTAGAATATTCCAAACATATACGTGAAAGGCACTTGCAAAAAAGTAATGCTAGGTAAGGGAGGTAGGAGTAACGTGTTTAATCTGACTTTAATGAATAAATTAATGAGAATCGAGTGAGTGAGTGAGTGATCCGAGTGCCATTCGAGTGCCTCCAAAAGCCCATGGCATGACTTCGTCATCCATGAGCTAAAAAGAAATCTCTAGCTGTTTGATTCCCCGCCTACTTGATGTATTTCCCTGGCAACTGGAAATCTTAGTGACAATCCTGACTATCAACTCTCGTAGGATTTCACATGCATATGATGGCTCGATATCCTTGTAAGCAATATTTGAACAAATAACAGAAAAAGGAACTCCTAACCCCTAAATTTTGGGACGTACAATCGTCGTCCCAAGAGAAATTGAAAACAATGTTTAGGGAAACGAAGAGTGTTGACCACTACAGGAAATACTATATATAATGCATAAATACTATGCATAAGCATTGTTTTCAGTTACTCTTGGGGCCATTTTAACTCCCAAGAGGAACTGAAAACAATGCTTATGCAAGTAGTGGTCGATTAAGGCATTTTTTCATGTTTCAGGGACTTTACTTCAGGCCTTCACGGTCAATTCATTTCGGTGCTGTATCCATCTCGGGGTACGCATGAGCATTGTTGCAGAAGCAAAGATGGTTAATACGAGACCCAAACGCCTGTACTCGATTAAAAATATTCCAAGCTACAGGTGCTTTCCATTGGCCATGTGCACGTTTCCCATAATGCACCTTGTTTGCCCCATGACAAAGGTCTTGAGTACTGTAGGCCAGCCAGGATTACGGATGCTACAGCGCATTAAATGCTTGAACAAGCAGTATGTTAAGTTAGTGGCATTATTGTTATTACAGAATACAGTCAATGAAGCAAATTTTGTTTTTGTTGTGGATTAGTTCAATATTAATTGTGAATTTTGGAGAGCCAAGTCGGAAACTTGCAATAATTTATTAGCACAATTTAGATAACAACGGATCGTTCCTTCAATGACAACTGAACTATTTTATTGTTTTTCATTTAAGAATCATCAATAAATTGAATAACCCTTAATGCTGAAGCGAGTCAAGACCACTGCATAAAAAGATTTAGGCATTTTCAAACATTAAGTCTTGATCTCGTCCGTCCACAAAACGCTAAAACGATGGAAGTACAATAGCCTCTCTTACAGAGCATGCGCAATTCCGGTAGTATATGACGTATGACATCATCACATTCTCGTCCGTCCACACGGAAACGGGAAGCCAGCGTTGTAAAAATCTCCTCTCTGGAGACCGTTTTTCTGCCCTGGAAAAGCATTTACGAGTGAACGGAAGGCTAAAACGAAGAAAAAAATCTTCGTTTTCAAATTTATCCGGATACCTGTGGACGGTGCCTAAGACATGCGCATCTACAGTGTTATAAAAAGTGCTTACATAACTGTTTCAAATAATTTATAAGTGATTGGACATTACTACATGTGAGTTTCGCCAAGAAACCTCCTGGCGACTTCACAAGTGATTACTTGTCAGTGACTCTCGAACCTACCCTGGCTCCAGAGGTCCGTTCTCAAAATACCTAATACGAAATAAACCGTGCTTACGGTTTGATAAGGCTCCCGAGTTAATTTTTTCTCTCGGCGCCTCGTTGACGCGGCTTCGCCGCGAACCATCAGTGTCGGTAAGAAAAACATATCCTCTGGAACCCAGGGTATCTCCAACCCTTCTTTTAGCAACCGCTAAAAGAGAATGTCAAATGACCTGAACTGAGCCGAGAAACAAGCCAAGCTAAAAACGTAAAAATTCGAGCACAATTTACACAGTTCCTATTGCCTGCTATCATAACGTTCTATAGAGAACTACACACCTTGTTGACCCTTGTAATGAGCTATTTACATCAAGGCGACATTTCACTGAAACTTCCAGAGGAATTCGTTTCATAATCTTTGTCGCAAGTTTCAGCTCTCTGTAAGTAATAATCGACCTATCAAAAACTGCCGTCTTGCGTTAGGGACCTTACGAAACTAAGACGGCGACGTAAAGGGGAAAGTCTAAAACACAATAGTTTTTTATGAGCAGAACAACACCTCTGCACGTGCATCACGCCCCCTGCAAAACTACGACATGGAACGACCAAATTATTGAGTTGCCTTGCGGACGAAAACGGGAAGGTGATAAACTACTATCTTTCTCTAAACTCGGACGCAGTCCTCTCTCTTCAGCTCCAACCTAACTGGGTGACTTGTTATCCAGGCGGAAAAAATTTTGAGGGACGCAAAGTCTATTTTTCATCGACGTTTTCATTGGCGTCGCGGTTGTCGGAACGTAAGGTCCCTAGTGCGTTTACGCAACATGACGGCAGGAAGAAGAGGACGGCAAAACGTTTGTGAGTGACAAACGTGAGAGGGCTATTACTTGCGTGTTTTGTCGTGATCTTCACTTAACATCAACGTTTTCTGGTCTTTTACAAACAGATCTGTTTAAAGGAAGATAAGTTTGGCGGAAAGGTTTCTCAAACCAAATTATTGTCACGTTTGTCACACAAGGTTTGCCGTCTTCTTTTCTCCTCCGTCCTATTGCGCAAGTTCACTATTGATACATTCTTTGTCAGTTATGTTCTGAGGTTGAAAATGGACGGAGTTATATCAACCTCAAATTTTCAGACAAGCTAATTTTGTTATAATCTTTCGATATTCAGAATAGCCACGTCGTTTTAATTGATCAGAGTATAATGAACATGTGCGAATGCCTGAAACAAATCGTTTCTAAATGTCTTCTCGTGTATTACGCAAATTATTGATAATTGACAAATTTCATTTTCAGTGTCTTCGGGTACTGCACTCACCTATTTCGGTATGAAAAAAAAAAAACTACCTCCAATTTTTCTACAAAGCCTTCAAAAAATTAGACGGCGCCCAGCCAGATTTCTGTCCGATTTTCACCAGCCACCAGCCTCCCTCGTCCATTTCAAGCACTTCCATTTGATCACCTTCCTTAAAACTGATGCATTGTTCATCACCTTCATCAAAGTAACCCGCCACAGCTACGTAGACAGCTTTGCTACTCTGGATATTTTCTTTGGGTGGAGCTGGTTTTGCTAGTCTTGTCGGTTTTGTTGGTACTTTTGGTTTAGTGTTGATTTTTTCTAGATATGAGGCAGGTGCCCATCCTTGTTTTCCACCCCTTGTTTTCACAAGCCACCATCCACTACCCGAGTCTTCTAAATATTCAAACTCATCTCCCTTAGAGAATGACAAACTTTCACCTTCACCCGAGGAAAACGTTTCTAAGGCTTTGCAAAGCGTTCTGATCTTTTCCGAGGCAGACGCTGTTTCCACTCGCGATGGCTTTTGCGGCACGTCTGGAGTGGTCATCTTCACACGTGGTTTCACTTGCGCTTTAACCGGACGATCTGGTTTCTTAGACACAGATTCCTGTTTAGAGGCAGGTGTGACAGGCTTAACAGGAAGCGGCACTGGTTTCCTCCCAGGTTGTAAACCCACTGGGGCGGCTGGTCTCGGTGGTGCAGTCTTTTTCTCAGAATTGGAAGCCTGCAGGTAACTAGACGGAGCCCATCCTTCATTGCCTTGTATTTTGACATATGACCACCCATCCTGCTCCTCCTCAATAACATGTACCATTTGTCCTTCCTTAAATGAAATACTTCCTTCAAAATCACCGTCATAATCCGCCAAAGCGACAAATGTTGCAGGGACGTCAGAAGCCTTTTCAGAAACAGGGGCCAGAGGTTCGGAATTGTTTGTTGAAGAGGGAGTGCATCTTTTCGAATCGTTTTGCAATGGACGATCACGCTGTCTTTGATTTTGAGGTGAGACGCCGTTTTCAGACGTTTTCACTTTGCCTCTTTTACCCAGGTAAGATGAAGGTATCCAGCCCTCTTTGCCTCCAATCTTACCCAGCCACCACCCATTAGGAGCTTTGTCAACAACTTCCACCGATTCCCCTCCCGTGAAGTTTAACGCGCCTTCGATTCCCAAGGAACGAAAGTCACCAACCGTAAAGTACTCCACTTCAGGAGACTTTGGAGGGCTTTTGTGTAAATTAAGTGACCGCTCATAGGACATATTGGTGATATGCACAGGAAGCTTCTTCTCTGACCTTTTAACCTAAAAAAATTGAAGAAAGAAAAATTTGGAGTAGTCAAAGCTTTCAGTTCTCCAACGGTGAAGCGAATCCTATTTTTGGTTAGCTATCCGAACAGACAAGAAGTGTGTACCTGGTCTATTTCTTTGATTGGTCAACCTGGCTGGATACTTTTTTCATACTTTTTTTTCGCACCGTCAAACGTCACAAAGGCAAAAAAGGAACTTAACTACCATCCAGCTATAATGACCTCATACACTCTTGGTAAATAACGCTTATATATCATGTAGCCTTGACCTTGAAGACTACCATAATTCCGACAGAGAACAATCTTCATTTTAGCCTGCAATACGGCGTAATTGAGGGCACTCAGGCTGGTACGTAGGGATACGCACGCGACGCGCAGGGCACGCAAGGAAAAGGAAAATAACATTTTTCCTTTCTCGCGTGTCTCGCGCTCAGCGCTCGCACCCCCAAACCCGCCTGGGCGCTTTCAGTAACACCAGTTGTACAAGCCAATTAGTTTTTATTTATTTGAGGCAGGGAATGTGTTCAGTAATTCTCAGGTGTGATAACAATAATTCAATATCCAATATGTGATGAGCTTGCTACTGAACGGAGATAGAAAACAGCCGAGTCCCTCACGAAAGCCTCGTCCCCGAGCACGCGGCTGAACCAACTGACCTAATAAGAGACATGACGAGCTAAGCTTGGACATTCTATCTCAACATGAGACCTCTGTCTCTTGCACAAGACGTCTTGAACCTCATTACTTAATCTAGATTAAAGCAACTGATTTACAATACTTCTGCATTAAGATCTCACTTTTTACTCCTACGAAACCCGAGTATGTCGTACACTTCGACTATGATCAACTGCAGAACACTTACCGAGCTTTTTCTTGGTGGCAGTTTCCGACTTTTGGATTCTGTTTGATAACAAAAAGTAATCCAATGTTCAGTAGCAGGAAAAATGTGCCATCCCAAGGGAAATTAAAGGTCTTGATTTGAGCACGAGTGGTCGTTAGTCACCAACACTTATTTAACCGACGGGAATATTTGTTTCAAGTTGCGTGTTTTTTTTCCTATGTAGTTCTCACTTTCCAAAATGTCGGTGTTTTGAAAAGAAACCAAAACAAATCCATTTCAAGGGCTGGTGATTCAAAGAAGGAGGCCTAATCCTGCACCTCTTTTTAGTTTTCGCTTCAGTTTTGGAGATAATTACCATGGGTACTGTACCAAAGGATTTTTGTCGCGCGGCGGGATGCTTCAGAGTTGGACACGAAGGCCGAAGTCACATGCACTTGACTGAAACCGGAAACCGCGCATGACAAGTCTTTGGTATCCAGGGGCGGAAATAATGGGCCTCAAGGATTATCCTTAATGTTTTGAGAAAGTGAGGAGAAGAGTCGCTTATTTGCTAGTTCCTTCCTCAATATAAGTTTATCGATTTTAATTGACATCTTGCGTCGAACTTCTCATCTTTAGTTTTATTTTTTCTGAATAATTGAGACCAGGTTGAGACTTCTTAATATACCCAAATACGGCTTACTTGCGATTTGTTTAAAATCCAACAGCCTTTCTTATGAAATTTGGTTAATACTTAGCTCCGTAAATTTAAAGTGAAAGAATTCTTTTTTTGAGACTTCGATAAGTATTTGAAGATATGTATTTCCTGGTGGCGATTTCATTGGTGGCGAGGTGACCGGACGCCTCTGTATTTAAAAATACAGAGCCGTGCGTGATGTTCCTCTGCCGTGTCCGAGGCCTTATTAGGAAAATTTCTAAATTATACTTTCCGAGGTGAATCTTTGCCTTAGTAAATCTTGTCCGCCTGATGACTAAGGACAAAGTCGCCTTACCAGAAACCCTCGGGGCGCTCTGTACGCTTCCTTTGCTTGTTTCATCCTTTCTCTTTATTGAAGATCCCATAGCTTGAAGCTGCGAAGGGTTTGGTTTTTTAAGGTACATAGCTGGAGCCCAACCTTCACGATCTTGGTACCTTATGGAAGAAAAGCCAGAAAAAAATTATAAATGACCTGCTATGAGAAGGGCAGAATATTGAGAGACGGTGTAGTTATCAAAATAGGGAGCTTAAGCAACGGAGACGGCGACGACATTGAGAACGGCACAAAAGCAATAGGTTTGGATCAGCAAAATAACAACTTTGCACGTGCATCACGTTTTTTTGTACATTTCTTTGCCGTCACTGCACGACTACGACGTGAAAGTGCCTCATTTCACGTTTTGAAGAGGACGCGAACAGAAAACGACGACTTTCTTTTTCTTTTCCTGTTCTTTGAAGCAGTGCTTTAGAATTGAACTCCAGAGAAATCTGCCAACATTGGACAAATTCAACGAGATGGAATAAGCGCGTTGAAGTTTGAGGCAGCGCGAATTCACTTTTTAAGTGACGTTTTCGCAGCCATCGCCGTCGTTGTTGTTTAAGCAACGACGTTTTTGAGCGACGCACGTCAACCGGAAGTGGCCTTTTTTCATTTTTTGACGGTGGTTTCGCGCAAATTTTCAGTCAAATCGCCTCTATAACAGTAAAGAAGCTAAGGAATACAAATTTTATATCATCAAGGCATGTTAAGAGGGAAAATACCTCACTTCCGGTTGACGTGCGTCGCTCAAAAACGTCGCTGCTTAAGCTCCCTAATTCGTGAAAAACGCCACGACTTTAATCACAACATTTTCAAGCAACAACCCGCTCCTTCCCAACATGCAATCCCCCTTCCTTTTTTTTCCATCCTTCTAATCCCCTGCCTCTTTCGACGCCTGCTACGTAGGCTATCTTCTCCAGGCCCCAGTACTGCAAAAGGTGGATAGCGCTACCTATCGGTAAATCTCTATCCAGTGGATAAAGCGATTAGTTTTCCTAATACACTGTACGTCTCCAACGGATAGGGATTCATCCCGTGGATTGCTTTATCCCCGTTTTGAACAACAGGACCCTGACATATACTCATTAGGGAGCTTAAGCAGCGACGTTTTTGAGCGACGCACGTCAACCGGAAGTGAGGTATTTTCCCTCTTAACATGCCTTGATGATATAAAATTTGTATTCCTTAGCTTCTTTACTGTTATAGAGGCGATTTGACTGAAAACTTGCGCGAAACCACCGTCAAAAAATGAAAAAAGGCCACTTCCGGTTGACGTGCGTCGCTCAAAAACGTCGTTGCTTAAGCTCCCTATTTACCATAGCTGAAATCGTCCCTCACGCTAGTTAGGCGGAAAATGTTGTGAATGCAGCGACAGGCAAAAGTAAGTTGACCAAGCCCGAAAATTACCGTTTGTCAAAAAGGCCCGCCCGCGCAACAAACCTGAGGAACTGGGACTACTAGCGGTTTACTCTAGAAAGAAATAGAAGGTTACTGAACAAGCAGGATCAAAATGCCGGGGTATAAAAAGCGACCTTTGACGCGACTTTGCGTGCCCTATATTTGCATCGCCAGTTGAGTATCTTGACTTTCGATCTCTACGGGTGTGCCATTTTTGTAAGCTATGGCCCTATGCTGCGACAGCTCTACTAATATCTTGCGCCTTCTTCACTTCAGTTCCCTGTACGCACGATAACGTTATAGCGAGGTCATTTGTCTAACTTTTGCATCTATATGTGGAAGAAACTCTAAAGTGTTACCATTCAAATAAAACCTCTTTGGCAGGAATTTCGCACAGTACTATTAATTTCTCAAGATTTTAGGAAAGAAATTTATTTTTTTTGCGAATTTTTCCCCGGAACACTATTTGGAGTGGAAGTACCATCATATACAACACAAGAAAACGAGTTCAGAAAACTGCCAGGCAGGATTTAGGCAGGGTCAGTAACACATAGAGGAATTGATTAATTAAACTCACCGAACAAGCCACCAGCCATCAAAGTTTTTCTCAAGGACAGTTACTATTACACCCAATTCAAAGCTCATTTCATCATCAAGTTCTGCTTTGTATGCTGATGTGGTCATGAATTTCTCTGTCGATTGCAGAAATACAAATAATGAAGATAAACAAGAAACTCAAAAACCTTGTCTTTCTGGATTTGTACTGAGATTGCTCCTTTTCTTGATCTCTTATTTTTCCATAAGATCGTTGAGTTCAAGCGTTCAATGTAACTTGCGGTCATCTTGGTTTAAAATGTACCGAGGGGGCGGGTCCCGGGATCCAGACGTTCAGATAGTGGAATGCGGCGCGAAGTCAGAGAGAACGGTATAAAAAAATGGTGGAAGAGCGGGAGAGAGGAAAAGATCTCACCCCTACTCTACCACCTCGCTGTTTTACCTGCTCACTCTGCCCGTCTTCACTATCTGAACGCTTGAAACAGGCTAGCGTGGTACTGAAGTGCTTCTTTTCTCCATCTCCCTCTCCTCTTTTTGCGCTTGCTCCGCAGGCTAGGTTTATCGCCAGACTAGACCTGGTACATTTGAAACCAAGGTGGTCGCCAGTAAGGGTAGGTGTGCTAGAAGATCTTACATACGGAAAAATAGGAGACTGTGCACTGTCTATTATTTTTCTTGAGGGTAGTCTCGCAAAATTATGGAGTAAAACAGTGCAACTTCATTTCAGACATACCTGCCTCACATGGCTGATCTGCAAAGTCATCTTGTGAGCCGTCCTCTCTCTCAAGGTAAGCCGCTGGTACCCAGCCCTGCTCTTCATCCACGTTAACAAACCACCAACCTAACGAATAACACAGGTAAAACACGGGTAAGTAATATGGTAATTAGGAAGAAAAGCTCCTAAAAAATCTGTTGACTGACACTCAGTCAAGAGTCGGCCACCTATGGGCCAACAAATGGCCGACATTCAGCAGTCAAAGACTTTAGGTTTCTGATTTTGCTTAATCATATAAGCATGATTACAACTGAATTGCATTACAAACTCTCTTAAACTTGTAGAAGAGCACCGTCAGATTGTACATTGTAATTACAAAGATAGGATTTTTTACCCAGACGTGACTTGAAAAATCTCTTCAAGCTCAAAAGCCTGGCTTTGAATTGAATGGTCACACCTTACATGAAATCAAATTGGCTGATTGCTGAAAATTCAACAGTTAAGGATGAAAAGAGGTGACAACTACTGAAGAGGTTTCATCTGAATAGTCACACAACAGGATTTCTCTGACTCACCAAATCCAAACTAAAACCTACACTTTATGTAACATATCTCAAAAACTGGGCAAGGTAGAAAATATAAAATGCAAAATTTACCATTTTCATTCTTGTCTATAACCTCCACAATATCTCCTGCCACCATGCTAACCTCATTTCTGTTTTGTTTCTTGTAGTCGGCTATGGCCACATACTGTTCCAGCATCACAGGGCCACTGATGTTCTCAGCTGCAATGCAAAAATTGGATTGAATTAAAAGAGTGTCTCAATGTATATATCAGGGTCCATGAATTTGATGGTAGCTTCCACCCATGCTGTCGAGACATAAATCTCACTAGCAGAGTTTTCGGTCTGTACTGTAAATTGCAGACTGAGTTTTTTTCCCATCAATTTATGACCCAAGCACAAGGATCACAAATTGAAGAAAAAAACGAGGCTAAAAAGATGTTTATTACACGGTTTTCTGTTTGAGGGACTACAAAAAAGTGCAGAAAAAGCGATATGACAGTCATTTGACAGGTGATAAAATTTTCAAACACTGACTAGAATCCGGTTCTTCGATAAGATTCAATTCAGTTTCTTCATTTGCCTTCGTTCACAAACAATCACAGGTTGAAATGTTGAAGGATGAACTCAATATCTAAGTCCTCACTGAGGGTTGACAGACATCTCATGAATTTCTTCAAACTCTTTTTTCAAGATGAAGAGATTTAGAGCTGTGAGATGAGCATTTGCTTTTGAGATTTTGGTTCGTATAGCAAGTTACGGACCACAAACTGACCTAACATAACAAGTATTATTAAAGACTGCACCTGCATAGACATTGATTATAAGCAATTCACAACAGAAATTAACTTTTACAGGATGGAATGAATTAAAATTAAAAATCTTTGCATTTCATTATGTAAATACTTCAAAATATGAAACCCTGGTTTTTAGCACTGTCCCAAAATAAGACAGCAAATTATTTTCAAGTGCATCTCACACATTATGACGGAAACCTTTGGTAGATAAAATGAACAATGAATGAAAAAAGTGCATTTCAACAGCATTGGAGTTTCCGGTACCTGTTTCTTTCTTCTTCTTGTCTTTGCTGGAAAAAAAAAGTTTGAGTTAGCATTTGGCGTGTTCATGATGAACTTACATACACATGCACAAAAAATATTGAATCACTAACTCCTGTCACTTAATTATACATAATAACTCGTTCAATCAACAATCAAATTGATTAAATGATTTATTATTACAACTCAGCATTTCAACAGCTTTACTGCAGTTCAAACCCTTAGCTTTAAAGGGAACCTCCACTTCAACAAAAAGATAACTTTAAATCACAGGAAATAACTGTTACAGTCAAGTCAATCTAAAATATTTTTAAAGAAAGCGTTTGTATCCGAAAGAAATAACTTTTAGATTCGCCTATTTTTGTTTTCAAATTTTGCGGGCGTCGCCATCTTGAATAATTGTGACGTGTAATGGTTGCCCTATTGTTATTAAACAAAAGCTCTTTGTGTCAGAACAATAGAGCAAGCGTAACACGTCACAATTATTCAAGATGGCGGCGCCCGCGAAATTTGAAAGTGAAAATAAGTGATTTTAAATTCACTTTTCCTGATATAAACACTTTTTTTAAGACAAATTTCGAACAAATTTGTTTATCAACATAATTTTATTCGATTTAAACTTATTCTGTAGTAAGAGTGGAGGTTCCGTTTAAGGAATGAAAGGAGGCTACAGTAGTAACAAATCAAGATAGGCAAGCCTACAAAATTAATGTACATGAACATGTATATTGGAAAGCAGGCTCATTATGAGTTCCAGATAAGAAATGAATGTAACAAAATGAATGAAGCTTTGGATTGTGCACCATCAATTAACATTTTAAATTTTAATGAAAGTAATAGTAAGAGAAAGTTTATAGCCATGGTGGTGGGTATATACTTCTTAAGGGCAGTCAACTTGTAAGAGAGTGGGGACCTATTCAAGTAGAACATGGAGTACACCTAAAAACAGACAAAAAGTCTGTCGTAATGCCTTAAGGATACCCTAGATTTTTCAATGAAAAGATCCTCTTATGAATAACCAGTTTACTTACTCTTTAGCAGGTAGGTCTATGTCCTCTGGCTTCGGCTCAAAAAATTTTAACACTGTATCACATGTTGAGATCTTTGGAGGCAATGAAATCAGTTCCTAAAATACAATGAGAGGAGACAATACCAAATCTAATCAATAAACAGATAATCAATTTCTGCAGGATCATCCACTGTACTTTTTCTGCACGACAAATGGAAATGATGCAAACTGCAAAAGTTGCATTATGTTAGCCAAACAAGGCTAATTAAGGCTATGGTGGTGCAAGAAATGACCCAAATACATGTACTTCAAAACTGACAACTTTTTTCACTGATCTGCAGTTACAACTTCAGAACTATCTTAAAGACTCTTACTTTGCAGTATTCACTGATTGGTTCCTTTCTTCGCAATGCAACATCCCGCACATGACTTCTTCCAAAGATGATTTTACCTGTTTGTTATGCAGCACAAAAGAACATGCCGGCTAAATATCACCACTGAGGAAACTACAGGAGAAGTAGTGGCTATCCAAACTCTGAAGAAAATATCGTCATCTCTACTGAAGACGTAGATATCCTGTTTTGGCAGGGGAACTGGAAAGGGTGTCGACTCCCAGTCAGAATAATGGAAGTACTGGTCCAACATTTTTGAAAACTCCCCTTTGAGGCATCAGTTTTGTGGGCATGGCCAAGTATATTTTAAACTGTAAAGCTGGCACTGACAATGATGATGATTTAGTTGGAAAAGAAATACTAATAACTTCAGTTTTTGGCTCAATACTCTATTAGGCTTCTAAAAGTTACTTTTAGATTTTACAGGCACCCTAAAGGTCTACTCTTTCAAAAATGTATGACTTCTACCCTTGTCATTTTATAGGGGAGACTACCTTACAAACGAGTGAATAAAAAACTTCAGCAAACATCATACCTGGTAAAAATGGCAGTATTCTCTTGGATGGGTCCTTCACACCACTTTCCTCTGGGAACTCTTCTAAAAGTTTTGTCTGTACAAATGCAAGACTAAGTTAATAAATGTGGCTCAATATCCTTTGATAAGAGAGTCTCAAACTTTAATTTTATGGTGGTGGATCAAGTAAGTCAGGAAATTTCAAAACAATTTGAACTTCAACATAAATGGAATGTTAGGCTATGTTTCTTTCATTTCAAGGTCACATATGAGTATGAAATGTAAACAGATACATTGCACAATCGACCACAGGAATACCAGCTCTCATTTAACTTGACAGTAGGCTTTTGTACATTATGCTAGCATTTTTCCGAGCATTTTAGTGAAGCAAAAGCATTGAGCATTATTCGAGCATTTTAGTGGCATTTTCCCCGGAAAATTAATTTTTTCAGAGAAAATAAAATAGAAATTAACTTTTTTCAGGAGCCCATGTCCCATGAGCTCCTGCTTTTTTAAAGAAAATGAAGACTAAAACTCAAAATTCACAAAAAAACCTAATACAGCTGTTTCTTTTGGCCGTATTTATGAACTTTACACGTTGTCGTTGTTACTTACAACACTTGCACGTTTTTGTAAGTGTAAACTTTAAAATTAATTTTAAAAACCGTTTGTATAATGAGCATTATCCGAGCATTTTCGTTACTTTTTAGGGGAGACCGAGCATTTTAGTGGGAAAAATGGAGCATTAAGGTGGAGCATTTTAGTGGGGAGGCAAAAGCATATTGTACATAAGCCTACTTGACAGCTCAGTGGTGCACCTGCACCTTTTATTGTTACCAATACAAAGTTTTTGAGGGCACTCCAGCTTTATTTTCTATGGATTTAACCAAATCACTTGCAAAGTGAAACCTCCGTTCTGGCTACAAGGCAAAGCTCAGTTTGTAGAGGGTGCATGATTGTGGACTTGAATACAACTTTAACCCTTGATCGTCAGTACGGGTATTTCTGACGAAATCCAAGTTGTGATGGTCGCCATTGATGTAGCGACGATCTTAAGAGATCAAATTGACGATCACATGCCATTTCAATTAAGTCTGGCAACATTAGCCATGCAATCACAGCAAATTAAAGAAACATGCCAAAAACTGTGCTGCACATTCAGAGCTTTGTTTTGTTTATTTTCTCGTTTTCCGTCATTGTTGTATTACACTGAGCTTCCCAGTAGTTTGCTTTTACCATGCCAAACAATTCATGATATGCCATGATTTCACAAAAAAACATATGCTTTGATGGAAAATCTGCGACCAAATCAGGATCTGCAGGTACACTGTACCCATAAAGAAGCTCACCCTTATGTCTAGTTAGGGCTTACTTTTTCCAAACTGCCTAAGTTACATGCATAATTATGATGCTTCATCTTTAAGTTTAGAAGTTTTAGTTAAGATAAGATCAAGAAGTCTTTCATCAACTTTAAAACCTACACTGAAGTTATCTGCAAGGGGATAGAGCTCTTGACTATTAATTTCTCTACTTACTTGAAGATCAAAAAATTTACTGTATCGTCTGTATATGACATTGACACTTCCATCAGACCAAGTGACATTTATGACATAAACCTGAAGCACAAATTATCGTAACATGAGAAAATGGTTGGATTCAATATAAATGAATTATTACAACCAGGAGGAAGATAACTATCACAATAAATACATCTATGCAGTTAATCTGTTCCTAGAGGACAGCTCTATAATACAACAAAACTTCACTACTAGCTAGAATCTTGCTATATATTTTATATGTCGGCTATTCCCGTATAGCAATCAGTAAGTTTGTTTGAAAGCGAAATCTTTGATCACGAGTCTACACTATGCTTTTCCCTGCCAAAAACAAAACAAGGTGAAGTGGCTTTCGATTTCTCGGCATGTACATACTTGAGCTTACTTTAATCTAAGAGGGCCAAAATATAGAGAACGAAACGGTGATCGCAAACATCACTGACTTTATTACAGTCTTCATGTGTGCAATTTCAATGATCTTCGGCATACTAAATTAAGGTTATTTCTGTAGGGACCTCATACTTGGATACTCACATAGTGTTTGCTTGGTACTTTTCTTTTCTGAATATCAACAATTTTAACATTTGCAAGGACCCTGTGTGGCATTGCAGTTCTAAACGGATCCAAATTCCTGAAATGTTCTACTATTGCTAAATTATCACGCAAAGATCCAGAAACATTTGACAACCAGCCAGTCGAGTCAATTTGATGAAGTTTCAAGTGTCCTCAAATGTCCGGGAAATTGAACTGAGCCTGCAAACAGCCGGAAATGACGAACTTGCTCGCCCACCCCTTCCCACTTTACCCAGCCCCTCCCTCCCCGTCATGTCACTGCGTCCCTGTGGAGAGAAAGGATGTGCGTGTTTCGAGCGTACGGGTGCCTGGCAGAACACTTATTAATCAACTTTTCCTGAATGGCTTACAGTGACGAATGCACTTCCACCAAGATGATGACTTCCACAGCAATTTATACATCATGGGTATTCGATTCAGGGCACTGATTATGAATTAATAGAGGGAGAGATAGAGAGACAGAGAGAGTAAGAAAATCACCTCTTGCCTGGAGAAAAATTCCTGAGGTGAGATGGGGGGGACTTGGATTAATTTTTGTGGGGTACTCAGAACCCCTACCCCATTGGCCAATTATATACTTGCCTCCCACCTAGTAGGCGTTTTTATTAGGGGAGGGACGAAATACGAGGTCCCCTAAAAACGCCTGCGATCGCAACTTAGTCACCTTCTATTTATGTATCTACCTTATTAATCCTTTTAATAGGTCATCCTAAAATGAATTGACCCATTTTCTAAAGTGAATGGAGAACACTTTACTTTTCGCCTGCAGTACAAACATTCTGGTACGTTTGCCAACCGTAATTACGAAGACTGAACTTTCTTACCCAAAAAATCCGAAAATGTGCGACCCCATTCTAGTAACTATTGAAAATGCAACCCCATTATAGTCAATCCAGTCGTGAAAATGGTACCCCATCAAGTGGCTTAATTATTCTGAAATAAGACTGCTTCAATAGCAATTGTACATGGCAGCAACAGACTGACCCACCCAACTGATCTGCAGTTTAGTACCCAGTAACACCTTTTCGGTGCAGATTTTATCATACAGGACTCGACTAGGACAAGGGCTACGTGAAGGGCAAGGAAAACTGAAAGCATGACGGAACACTTTCTCCTCCCTAAAGTTTCTAAAGCTTACCACCCAGGCTATGTAATAGACCTTTGTCACGCGGTGGCCATTTTGTCTCAGGAGATTTAAAAAGCTCTTTTTTATGCCTGGCTAGTCTCGTAGAGAGGAATGCATGAGGCTAGCCGTGCATAAACTTAAATCTCCTGACACAAAATCTCCGCCGCGTGACAAAGGGCTCTTAACGGTATTTCTGTTTATAGCTTAACCTTAATTCTAGCCTTTGCCCGTATGTATCTATTTCGGCAAGATAATAGTTGTCCTGGAACCGTATTTTTTTTATATAAAGCAATTCAGTTTTAACAGGTTGGTAGACTGTTAATAGCTATAGTTTCCTATCTTTCCGCTGAGTTTGAGAGGTCACGCTGATTTTTTATCAGAAGAGTACAAATCGCTTCTGCAACAAAGATGTAGGGATGATGTAGGGGATGGTGCATGTTTGGCAAGAGATCATAATAAGGTCCTATTAATGATCTCTTGGCTTGGCCTACCGCTCCTAGGTCATGTACCCATGTAACACGACAATCAAGCGGAAAAATAGGGGACTGGGGTGGGGAGTTTTCACAGTGCACCCAACATCACACGAGAAGAGCATAGTGCGATATTTCATTGGTCTTCTAGTCTGAAATGTGCCCTACAGGACTTACCTGAGCGCGAACCTCACCTCTCCCCCCACCCCCCGGCTTCCTGTAATAAATGACACAAAGTCATCTTTTGCTCCCTGAAAAGAAACTCAAAACGAGGCCGCAGAAGCAAGGCTTGCGAAATTTAAGACGAACAATTCGGAACTTTCAGGGTTTTGTACTAAGGATTTCACTGATGACTCGAGATATTTTATACGGTTGAACTTCCTTGATATGGACACCAAAGGGGAAGAATTAAGCGTCCACATTTCAGAAGTGTCTGTATCAAAGAAGAAGCGATAGCATATAAGTTGGACCAAACTGTTCGTAATAAAGACATATATTAGGGTGTTGTCCATAGAGAGGGGATGGCCATACTAATTTTTACAGTGCGCCCCGTTTAGTTGTATACTAATAAGTGCTAAACAAAGTCGAAGTAATAAAACACTTTTTTCTTCTGTGGGAAACATAAAAATCTTGCGCAGCTGAGTAGCTTGTCATTTAACCTACTTTGTTTTCCGTTCTTGAAAGTGTCCCAGCAGACGCTTTTTTCTCGTATGCCATACGGTGTTTACCATGATATGTACGATGACGATTCTCGCTGCTGACTGGCATCGCGTATATACATTACCTGTTTACGTCGAACATCTTCTACAAGCTTTTTTTAAAAAAAGGGGTTTGAAATGGGTTACAAAAATACGTAATTGCTATTTTTGTCTTGATTCACTTCTTTTTCGTATCGTTTCTAGGGGCAATGAATAAATGTTAGTTATTTGAAAGCCAAAGCCTCTGTTGTTTGCTTAGTTCGCTCACTGTTTACTTTTGGAAAGAAAAAGTTTGTTAAAGGTTCACGTGAACAGCATGCATGCATAAGATTTACTCATTACGTTGTTAAATTTAATTCCAAGCGTCTTCTTAAAGCCGTCGCCTTTAAGAAATACTCGATGTTGCCAGTTGTCGAAGACTGTTAGTTTGGCCGGCGCGGAAAGAAGGGGCAGTCGTGTGGACACAAGTATGTTAAGGATTCTATTACTATACATGATAACCTTTGTGAATGATATTATCAATGACTGTCGCTAAGTCTGGTTAATGTTTCCATGGCTGAGCTTTTCCTTAGTTCAAGATTCATGCCAAATATTTTCGGCATAGTTTAGTACAAGGACACTTGGAGGTATCTACTGACAGCGGTGCAACACCTTGTGAAAAAACGTAAGAACCCTTCTGCCCGAGTATTTTTTCATCTCAATTTCCTTTCCCGAGATATTTTTTGAGTAGCAGGAGTTTAACCTAAAGATGAAAAAGCTCCGTTTAAAGTCGTCTCATTTCTTTCAACGGCAAAACTAAGATGGAACTGCAGCTTTAATCTACCGTCATTATATATATTGTCTAATTATAAACCAATACATAAAATCAAGTTAATCGCTTCAGTTTCGCTTAGTTCTCATTGTTTCTCCTTATTGCTTGAATTGTTCAGTTTTGACAGGGAAATAGTTTCCTATTCTGTTTTTGTTCTCGAAGGCAAACCCAATTTTACGATTGTCGTTATAATACAAACGGTTGACCAGAACTGGCGCTAAATACTCAGACGCTGTTCATGCCTGCAAATCAGTTTGAATGTCAATGTTCAGTTTATGAAATTCAATTGTTAGTCCGTTTAAAGAGCCCAACTTAAAACTGTACCGAAAATTTTAGTCATAAACACAACGCTTCATATATATCTTTTTTCAACTTCCGGCCCAAAAAGGTATCAAAATGCGAGAGAAAATTGAGAGAAATTAAGATACTCAACTATTTGTTTTTATTCGCCATTTGAATTTTTAATAACGCTCAAGTCCTAGCTCAAATACCGGAAAGAAGTGAATTATATTTTTTTAGCTTGGCCGTCCAACTGTTTGGTTCCCAGTAACTGAATTTGGCTAAACTCCTTTTCAATTTACGTGTAAAAGAAATGTGAGCACTACTTTATTTCAACACTTTTTGCGATATCATAGAAGTAAGGTAAAAGACAGAGGACATCTGCTTTCTAGCCACATTTCTTATTATATGTGTACAGAATACATTAGCTGTGATTGGTTGGTTGGGTTAGTGAATGCGGTTATGTTCATACTGTTATGACGCAACAACCTGCTACAATATTTCGAGAGTGACAGTTCATTCCACTTTTATATAGTGCCTTCAAAATAGATGGAGCTCACTTTTGATGTTTTAAATGACAGACTGAAGAAGGTTTCAAGTATTACTATTCTTTGGTACTGCTTGATTGTTATGCAAGAAGACATTTTTTTTCCCTCAAGAAAAACTAATCAACTTTCTCGAGATTAGAACTCTTTAAGTGTTTACTTAACTGATTTTTTTCTGATCTTTTTATATCGTAGTTCAATGTTGTGGATCTCGGCTCATCTGGCCTTACCTCTGTTAGTTTTAAGCTGTTTGCTGCAATGTCCCGCGCCAACTCAGACAGCCGCAGGAAAAAAAGAAAGCAAGTTATCTTCGAGGGGAGCGACTAAGAATCAGTTGACAATTTCGTCCAAAGTAAAAATGTCAACCGTCCGGTTAAAAGAAACTGCAAGACCCACAACAAAGCCGTCTGCACCAACAAAGAAAGCTACGACAGCGAAAAAGGCAACAACCCCAACACCTTTGAACGAGTTCTCACTAAATGACATCCTTTTCAAGGGTCGACAATCAAGTAAGTAAATAAAAATTGTTCGCCATCATGTTTGTCAGGAAGTTATTATGGAGTATGTTTCACTGAAAACTTGCTTAAAACTGAGTTATGTGGCCAAATTATGCGATTCACCCAGTTTATCAGAGATATTTGTAATATTTGCATTGAATTTCATCAATAACACCCAGAGTATGCTGTTAAAACAAAGAAACCCGTTTCTGCGCCTGTTCCAAAATAAAGAAAAAATTGTGTTTCATCACAAGTTTATAAGATTCGTTATGAAATAATAAAGTAATACATCTCATACGTTACAGTTTCCTGTATTTCGTGGATTACGGTAACATGCAACACCCAGCTTACCTCAGTGCACTGTTTATGACAGAATTCGATTTTTGTTTTCAACTGATCCAATCTTTATTATATCCTTGTTAGTTTCCGTCCTTGCACCAAAAAGACCAAAGTTCAGAGTCGTTTCTCTACTCACATTCAGGCCCCTTCCATACGCATTTGGGTACATATTCTGAAAACAGAATTTTTTTCCGTTTTATCTCCGTCAACACTTAGCGGTATTCGAATCATATTCGCCCGTCCAGATGAAAACGCTTAAACGATGGAAATACGATAGCGTCCCTTACGCGCTCTACGATGTCACCGTATTCGAAAACCTCCATTTCTCACAGACAGTTTATGACTGACTCAGTAAAGAAGCTTTCAGGGGAGTACCCAACCT